GGGTGAATCAGGTAGATACCAAAGGTGGAAAGCAGCCCTGAAAAGGGCTCAGCAGCCCTCACACCAAAGGAGCTAGTTTTGCCTGAACATCCATACACATATAAATGAGTAAGTAGATACAATGAGACATATATAATATATAATTTTAAAAGTAGATTTGCGGAATGGTAGTTGTGTATGAGAAAGGATGTCCATCAGGCTGGGACTAATACATTTATCCCAATCAATTAGAGCTTTCATCTCTAAGAGATTTGCCTTTGGCATAAAATCTAAAACATAGCAAACCTCTGGCAGCCCAAGGTTCCCATTTAGACATCAAAATGTTTATTCATGCTATAGCCAAGAAAGACTGATGTTCCCAGGAGGGATACAAGTTATAGAGATGACTTTAGTTAGGCCCAAAGCAATTGTCACACTCCATCCTACAGGTACAGTCTGAGGCATGAGAGAAGAGATGCCCTGGACACGCATCAAGGTTGTCATTCCTTAGCCTGGGTAGCAATCAGTTCACCAGCAGGGCACAAAATATAGGAGGAGCTGGAGAGCCATTTGATGTTTCACAGCTAGGCCAGCTTGCAGAGTTCCAGGAAGCATTTTGAAAGGACCACACCTTTGTGGTCCCCTATGCCTTACACTCGGCACTTTCCTGGGCATCTCCTATCTGGATCCTTGAGACCTGATCAATTTAAACCTAACTGCCAATTGTGATAGGACCAGGTCTGGGAGATCAAGGCCTTCTGCACATACTCATCCACAGGCAGCCAAACAAAGCATTGAAGGGTCCTCACCTACACGTGGTTGTGCTCATCTTTGCAGAATGTGAGTAGTTTCACAGGGCTGCTCCATGGGACCGGGGGTGTTTATTTAACATTTCACGAAAACAGAACATTCTGCTACAGGGGAAAGCCAGCACCTTAACAGAGTAAAATATTGAGAGTGCTCTTGATAGGCTGAAGCCAAGGTAGAGAAGGAAGGACTGGATTTGGGCAGAAGCAACACAGAAGTATTCTTGGGTTTTAGTTGATGAGTCATCAATGTAGAGCTATTGTAAGGAATGAGCCCCAAACTCAGATGCATAAATGAAATATAACAAAGTGTAGCAGATCAAAATTTGGCTTTCCATGATTACCTTCTACCTCCCGTCCTGGGCTTTACTGCAGTCATGGCTTCCCTCTCTAAGTATCTTATTCTGATCCAACTAAGTATTTTATTCTGATCCAATTTGCTTTGTGATCTTAAGCAAGCCACTTTATTTCTCACCTTTAAAGTTGGCCGGGGGCGGGGGGGAGGAAGGATAAATGAAATGATCCCTAAGACTGCCTCTTATATTTTGTGCTTCTGTACTAGACCCGTTTCTCTTCCTCTTCTAGCATCTGATGAGGTTTCAGGTACCAGTGATTGGTTTTCAGGAAGGAGAAGAGCTGGGACAGTGAGGGAAGGAAAATTGAGCAGAACCTACTTGTTAGGAGCTGAGGGGGATGCTTTTCAACTCCCCTCAATTTCTTTCACAGCCCCCTAAGGAAGGGGAATGTGGACATATAGAAACCATGAGCTCCCATTATAGTCAACATTAGTCAGCCCCTTGGTAGACTTCTGTGTCCAAATGTAGTTTGATAAAAGGGGGCATGAAGAATGGGGGAAGAAGATAGAGCTGGTGAAAGGGTTGGAAAATAATATCTAATTTAAATAAGACTCTATTTAGCCAGGAAGTGATCATGCTGAAAGGGATTTCATTACTAAGATAGAATGGTAATCAATTGTTCCTCCTGTCCCCTGGGAGCTAATGAGAAGAATTAGGCTTAAAATGCAGGATAAGGAATTTTGGTTAAACATAAAAATCAACTCTCTGATAGTGGGGATTTTTTTTTTTAGAAACGAGTAGTAACTAAAGATGTTTATGGAATCTACTTCTCTGGAGGTCTTTGAAAATATGATTGATTCTCACTTATCTGGGATGATCTGATCTGACTGGGATTACCCTTTCTGAAGGTCAGAAGGTAGTGTCTGACACATAGTAGTTGCTTAATAAGTGTTTATTGCAAGAATATTGCATTTGGACCTGTGATTTAATTTATGTAGGGGAGCTCCCAGTGAGGAAATTCCCTCTACTGATGCTGCTCAACAGCTCATTCTCATACATTATTTCATTTTATCCCATAAAAAACCTGTGAGATATACAAGGCTAGTAGTAGTAGTAGTCATATAACCATTTTATGGATGAGAAAACTGAGGATGCAAAGAGGTTAAAAATCACACAGCTGGTTAGTAGCAAAGATAGGATTTTCTTTCATGACTTATTTCCTAAATATTCTGTAATTTTCATATCTTTGTTATTATAATAATGTATTATACATCACACTAATACCTACCTGGAGGTATTCAACATTGTACAGTTTTCACTCATCTTCTATCCAAGGAGGGAAATGAGAGCAGGAATTACATTCACTAGAGAGAGGAATGAAGACATGGAGGACATGTTATGGCTTATCAAAGGCAGAGCTGGTTAAAGAAACAAGAGGAGAAGGCCAGCTAGGTGGCGCAGTAGATAGAGCACTGGCCCTGGAGTCAGGAGGACCTGAATTCAAATCTAGCCTCAGACACTTGCTAGCTATGTGACCCTGGGCAAGTCAGTTAACCCCCATTGCCTCCAAAATTAAAAAAAAAAAAGAAGAGGAGGGAGACCAGGATAGGATGGGGGAGGGGGTCTTCTGGCTACATCACATGAGGAAAATAGATTTAGCTTAATGAAAAACTTGGGGAGAGGAGAGGGTAGAGGGAGACCAGGATGGCTGGCTAAATATTTGAAGAGCTGTCATATGGAAGAAGGATTAGGTTAGTATCTGTAACTCTAGACAGCACTATTAGAATCAAGGAGTGGAAGCTTGGCCCCAGAGAAAAGTTGAGAAAATGCACCTCTATCCCTTTATTGTGGAGGTGGCAGACATGATGACTATGGAACATTTGCTTTCTATCAGACGCTATCAATATGAGGGCTAATACTGAACTGCTTTCCCCCACTTTCTTTGTATATTATTGTTACTAGGGATGGCCCATTGGGTTGAAGAGGGATAAGGAAAGACAAATACAAACAAATATGATGTAAAATCCAAATATATTAATAAAAATAAGATACATATTTTTTAAAAGAATCAACAGATGGAAGTTACAAGAAGGCATATTTAAGCTCAGTGTAAAGAAGAACTTTCTAACAAGTAGAGTTTTCTGGTGATAGAACACCACCATATTCGATGAGTTCCTCATCACCAGAAGTATTGAAGCCAGATAGTGATGACCAACTATCGGGGATGCTATTCCTTCCTGAGATGGAAATTTTGACTGAGTGACCTCTAAGGTCCTTTTCTAAAGTATGATTCTATGGTTCTAATTTTTAAGCTCACACATACCCTGAGAAGGCAGCTAGGTGGTACAGGTGATACAGTGCTGGGCCTGGAGTCAGGAAGACTCATCTTCCTGAGTTCAAATCTGGCCTTGGCCCCTTACTGTTTGAACCTGGTCAAGTCATTCAACCCTGTTTGCCTCAGTTTCCTCATCTGTAAAATGAGTTAGAAAAGGAAATGGCAAACCACGCCATTATTTTTGCCAAGAAAACCCCAAATGGGGTCACAAAGAGTTAGACAAGACTGAAAAAACCCCAGCTGAACAACAATATACCCTGATCCTCTAGTTACATTGAATTCAATCAAATTCAGCATTATTTCCTCTATCATGGAGAGATTGTGACCCCATGTTATCTCTTTGCCTTGGCCTAGAAGACCCTAAGATTTGGCTACCCTGGTCCCTAAGACAGACATATCTGGGAAGCTGGGGATATGGTGTGCCTGCTGAGCCCTTTCCAGGTAGATGTGATTCATTCTGCTCTGTAGGTTCCTGCCTGGGATCAGGCATGGAACCTTTATTCTATGATCAGATTCCACCAATCCTGCCTGTGAGGAATGGAATGGTTGCCCAAAGGTGGAGGAGGCATGTTTAGGGATGCTGAATAAAGCAAGAAGTATCACCAGGAGCCAAAAGCAAAAGTCTAATGGTGATAAGCTCTCTGCCCTTCTTGAGCATGGGTAGATTTGGTTATCTCTACAGGGTGGGTTAGGGACTGTTCCAACCAGGAATTCCTAAGAAACATTCATTCTGTTTAGCAATAACTTTGGGCCTCAAGCTAGCTAAACCTTAAGCACCTTTACGAGTCTGAATTACTATTGGCAAGGGCTCCGGATTAGATATCAGGAGATCTGGGTTCAAATCCCAGTTTCAAAGCTTCCTAAGCATGTAGCCATGAGCAAGTCATTTCAATACTCTGAGGCCCAGTTTTCTCATATGAAAAGTAGGGATGATAGTTGTATGAGAGCAGGGAGGGAGAGGGAATGGTGTCCCAGGTACTACCCTTCTATTATTTTGCATAGTGGTTGTTAGGAAAGCTCTTTGTAAACCTTAAAGCGCTTCATAAATGTGAATTATCGCTGCTATTGGTATTCATTTAGACCCGTGTGGCCCTGGGAGTCTGCAACCTGAGCTCCAGAGGAAGGTAAATGCACTCAACTCCATGTCTTATGGTCCTCAGAGCCTGGGGCCAGTCCAGACCTCTTGTGGATGCTGCTGGAAAGAAGTCCCCTGGGAGAACCCACCAACTTAAATACAAGGGATTTTTCCAGAACCAGATAAATTATTTGGAATGTAGTAAGTTGAATATCACTATAATTTTCTAGGAGTACTTTGCATATATTTAGCTGTGTCCTCACCTGAAGGACATGGGGTAGATCTAAGCCCTATTAGTAGGAATATCTGGGAGGGCTGCTATAATTCCATCCTTTGTACAGGGGAAATCCAAGCCTCGAGTCACCTGGACACATGACAGCCATGTCTTAAATGCCAAGCAGGTGAGTGTAAGGACTGGAGAGTATGATTTCACCTTTTTCATCCAAGCAGCCCAGTGTACTGATTCAGGCCAATGTCAGCTGAGTGGGCAGCCAGTAGGCCCAAAAGCCATGGCCCCAGTCAACATCCTGGTGATGAGGGAAGCAAAGGGCATGTAGGGGGAACAATTTGTCTAGTCAAGGATTCCTTCTCCTAAGAACTAGTGATGTCTGAGAGACAGAGCCAAGCCACTCCTTCGAACTCCCCCACCCACCTCACTGGAACACAGTTGTAGGGGAGAACTCACTGTGGCACAGGGACTTAAGGGAGGTAGGGGACACTGCAGACATTTCAAGGTTTGGGATTCCCACAGATACTTTTCTGAAAGTGAGAGTGTCAAAGGGGAGAAGACCATCTAGGCCCTCATTTGCTGGGTATCCTTGGTGCCCTGCAGTAGAGGCAGAGGTTCTCGGTGCTGGAGCATTAGCATCACACCACCTGCACTGTCTCTAACCTCACTGTTGGCAACACCTACTCTTTCTGGGTCTTTGCTAAAAACCAGTGTTGACTCAGTGCCTCAGCTCCTATCACTACTGACCTCGCCCACATCCAGAAAGCAGGTAAGGATTCACAATACAGAAAAAAATTGAAACGGGAAGAGCTGAGGCCAAAGAGCTGAAAAGCCAGCGATGGAGAAGTCACAGATAACATGATCCTTTCTGATCCTCCTCTCTTTCCTACTCGCCCCAGCAATCACTTTCAAACCTGAGAAGTTTGCTGAGATTTCTCTGAAGCCCCAGAGTTCACCTACTCACTGGCAGACTGCAGCACGATCAGTGCTGTCAGCACCCATTCCTTTGGGTGTCTGGCATCTCTCAAGGTGAGCAGGGAAATTTGGGGGCTTGTGCTGCCTTGTTTCCTGCTGCCTTCTAGGCCATGGACTCTGCTCCCCTCCTCCTTCAACACTAGAGAACCTGTACATCTGTCATCATCCAGAATCCTTTGTGCCAATTTGCATACGTTAAGATACAGAGCTGCCTTTCATATACAAAGATAACACTACTGACCCACCAGCAGCTGGGCATGTGCTTCAGGGCATTTTACAAGAAGGCCAATAAGGTCTTTCCAAGTCCAGTCATCTGACCCATAGCATGTATTTGCAAAATGATTGACTAGGGTTTGTGATGCTGACTAGCTATAGAGTAAGCGTTTCCCCACCTAGGGGTTAAACACAGCACTATTTGTTCTAATACACACAGACCAACATGCTTGTTAGGTGCTCTGTTGTAAGCATTTGGCTCCCTGGTGTGGGGATGGGGGGGAAAGATGCCCCAAAAGTGAAAATGATCCCTACCTTCCAGAAGCATAATTTGTATTGAGGGAGAGAAGACTGGCACAGAGCTGAGCAAGTGCGTAGATAACTTTTCACATTGTCTCCAAGAGAAGCTTCGATGCATTTGTGGCAGGTATAGGTTACTGGAATTCCATGTTTAAACTCTTTCAGTCAGGAAGGCTTCAGTGAAAGAGGTGAGATTTCAGGGACTGAAGACAAATGCCTTGGTGGACTTGGTGGGAGGGGAAAATGACCCGGGGAACTCATCCCTTCCTGAAATGTAGAAATGGAAGAGGAGTCCAAAAGGACAGTCTCTCTAGTCAGCTGCACTGGCATCTTTCCTCTGCCTAGCCACCTTGTCACTTGGGACAGCTACCAAACCCTTGAAAAATAGATTATCCCACAGCCTGGGGGGGTGATGGGAACAATGTAAGACAGTCCTGTCCCACCACCTCTTACTCTCAATCTTGCCTTCTAAGCCAAGATAATATGAAGAACCAGATAGATATCCAGAGAAGCTCCAAGCACAGAGCCCTTACTGACCAGGGTGTCTACTCCCTGGAGATTTGGAAGCCAGGACCTTTTGATGGGGAAATATACACTCTCAAGGCCATCAACCCTTCAGGAGAAGCATCTGTGAATTGTCAAGTGGATGTGAAAGGTGGTTGTTGTTCATCCTTCATTCTGGAAGAGGACCAATGACATCTTTATAAGAGAGAGATTTGGGACCCTGGGAACCTAGTCATTACTATGGCTTCTTAGAGATCTTCCCACAGTTGGAAACCCAGGGATCTAGAGTACAAATGAATATGAAGGAGCATGGCTCTGGTTTCCTTCTCATCTTTTAGATTGTGCTATAATTATCATTATCCTATATATTTGAATATATATTCTATATATTTGAATAGGGTTTTTAAAAATCAATTATTTCATCTCAATCACACTCCTTAAAATAGACAAGATGGGAGTTATAATCCTCATTTAACAGCTGAGAAAACCAAAGTACAGAGTGTGGAAGTGGTTGGTAGCAAAGCAGAATCTACTATGTAAGTCTGCTGAGCCCATCCATCCCGGATTTTTTTTCCACTAGACCATCCAGCCTCACAACTCCTGCCTAGCCACCACTCAGACTGCTCTGTATCCTGAAGATCCTGTGATGGGGTTTAAGTTGGCCCTCTAGATTACTCAGGGAATTTTGTACATCCTTTCTACTTCTCAGGGCTTCCATCACTTGACGCTAGGGCTTTTCCAACCTCTCTAACAAGCACCCCAATATAGCTAAGAATCTAAGGATCTTTTAGTCCCTCCCACGAATACAGGGAGAGGGATAATATAAATGTCTGAAGACCAAAGATGAATAGAATCATCTGTCATCTGTGTTCTGAGCGTTTTCCTGTGAATCTCTGAAACTGATATGATAAAGTATTTGGTTTCTTGTAGACCCCGGAGAGGCCACCTGCAAGAATGTGGTGGGCTATAAGGCAGGTAAGGGGGAAAAAAAGCCTCTTAATATTGAGGTTAAAACAAAACCATATCATTTACCCTTAGTCCCCTAGCCCTTTACTACCCAGCCACTATAGATTTACCACTTATATCCATTCCTGCTCAAGAAATAAAGCTGATGGAACACTAATGTATTGTTGGTGGAGTTGTGAAATGATCCAGCCATTCTGGAGAGCAATTTGGAACCATGCCCAAAGGGCTATAAAACAGTGCATACCTTTTGACCAGCAATACCGCTTCTAGGTCTGTATCCCAAAGAGATCATACAAATGGGGAAAGAACCCACATGGACAAAAATATTTATAGCAGCTCTTTTTGTGGTGGCAAAGAATTGGAAATTGAGAGAATGCCCATCAATTGGGGAATGGCTGAACAAGTTGTGGCATATGAATGTAATGGAATACTATTGTGCTATAAGAAATGATGAACAGGCTGACTTCAGAAAAACCTGGAAAGACTTGGATGGTCTGATGCTGAGTGAAGTGAGCAGAACCAAGAGAACATTGTACACAGTAAAAGCCACATTTTTCGATGACTAACTTTGATAGACTTAGTCCTTATCAGCAATGCAAGTATCTAAGACATCTCTAAAAGTCTCATGATGGAAAATGCTATTCACAACCAAAGAAAGAACTATGGAGTTTGAATGCAGATCGAAGAATACTATTTGCTCTTTTTTTTTCTTTTGTTTTGTTTCCTCTTTCTTGTGGTTCCTTCTATTGGTTCTAATTCTTCCTTACAACATCACTAATGTGAAAATATGTTTAATAGAAATGTATATGTATAGCCTATATCAGATTGTGCGCCGTCTTGGGGAGGGAGGTGGAGAAAAATTTAAAACTGAAAAGCTTATGGAAGTGGCTGTTGATAAATCAAAATAAATTAATTAAAAAAATGAAAAAAAAAAAGAAAGCTAAGATCAAGTCCACACTTGATACATCCTTTACATGTCTGTAACATTTAAATTATCCAGATGTTAGAATTTTTCCCAGTGGTTATCAGAAGGAAGGTCAAATAGAAAAGGAATGAGTGGAAGGAGAGAAAGTAGAAGCAATGCTTACAGAAGACTTTTTTATAGGAGCTGTATGTGAAAAACAAGAAAAACAAAGGCTTAGCTTGCGAGTATGGTACAGTCAAGTAGAGGGCTTTCCTTGCTCCAACACACACGTCTAAATTGCAGCTTGGAGGTGGGATTAGTCATAACTAAGCTTGAATAAGATTCTTGCAAGAAATCAGCAACCTTAAAGGATAGAAAATGTTTACAATGACTTAAAAGTGAACAGATTGAGCATCATTTATACATTTCTATGTAAATAATTAAACATAGACTATACTTTTCTTTAAATTCTAATTCTGGTAACTCTATCATTGTCTTCTATGGAGTGATCTTTTGGACTTAACCCTTTTACCCAGGGGTCTTGGGGAAATTTTAAGATGAAGAAATTAAAGCTATCTATAGTCATATGAAAAAATGCTCTAAATTACTATTGATTAGAGAAACGCAAGTCCCCACAATATCCAGGTCTGCCTCTAGCCATGTGTCACTTCACTCCCCAGCCATCTAGTGGCCCAATACCACCACCTGTCTCCATCACCCCTCCCTTCCCCTGCCCCTTCCAGTTCTGGGACTATAATTAAACCAACTCAGTCATTGCTCCTGGAAAGGGTGGGTCAACTTAGTCTCCTAAACTCCATTCATTACTCCTGTAACTTTCCACCCCAAAATATCTTTCCTTGGTCTCCAGTCCCCTCCCTTTTTTTTAAAATTATGTCTCCTATTAAAAAGTAAGGCCTGTGAGAGCTAGGACTGTCTTTGCTTTTGTATTTGTGTCCCCAGTTCGAAGCACAATGCTGGGCCTATAGGGCTAAATAAATGCTTTTTCATTCATTCACTCATTCAACTCCTCCTCCATCTCTCTTTATCATTTCAGTACCTTATTGGTCACTTCAACTCTTTCTACAAATCACTGCCCAGACAAGATACACATAATGAATTCATATGCACAGAAATTCAGGATCCAGCTGAAGAGGGACACTTCTCCCATTCCCTGCCTACAGTCTGTCCCTGTGGTGGTTACAGCAGTAAACTGATTACCCAGCATCTATCTGAACATTGGTTAGCACATTGAGTCATTCTGGCTGGTGACTGGTCTTAAGGAGTTACACAGAGCACAGTTCCCCTGATGCCTGAGTTTGGTTTTGAATGTGTGGGTCCCCATGATGAGATCTGGGTCAATAAATGTTTGTGTTTGACATTCAGGGAAACAGATCTGAGATGAGGAAGACTAATTAATCAAGAGTGGCAATATGTTCTTTTTCATTCCCAAACCTGAGTTCAGTTTACCACACCCAAATTTCTCTTTGAGCTAGATTTTTTTTTGGGCCACTTTTTCCCTAGAAAGAATGTGATAGGAACAAAATACAGAACTATATTGTACCCTCAATGGTTATAGATCTCTACTCACTGGGGCTCAGAAGTGCTCTCGCAGATATGGGAGAGATAGAGAGGAAGAAGATATCAGCATATTAAGAAAAGACAGGACACATAACAAAGACATTAATAACCAACATACAAAAATCAATAACTTAAGAACTCTGTACCCAAAAGTTGGGAGGGTGTTAGAGTAATGGAGGGAAGGAGAATCACATTAAGGACTGGGTAAATTTAGTCTGGAGGGACCCCCGTGCCTACACTTGTGTCTACTCATTCCTTTTTATCCAAGACATAAGTCAAGGTCATCATACCCTAAAAGTGATGGACTCTGGTTTGCGTGCCTTCTCCCCCAAAAGATAAAGTGGTCCTGGTTTGAAGTCATGTGAGGTTACTGAGAAACCATTTGGAGTGGGAGGTTGGGAACTGAGGAGTCAAGAAAGTGATAAATTTTGAATAAAGCTTTGGAGTAGAAGAAGGACTAGTTTTGGTTGAGAAGTATAGGGAAGGCACTGCAGCTGAGAGAAATGTTGTGCATAGGCTGTTAGAGGCCTAAGCCACTTAATTATGTGACCAGATTTTCTTCCCACTTGAACAAAGTCCAAGTGAAGGGCTTAAGAAAGAATGATACTCAATGATGAGTCAGCTTACAAACCACAGACCACCAGCTGGCCTGAAGCACTCAAGGCTAACCCATAGTACCTACTTCCTTATACCCAATTAGGTAAAGGAACAAGAGTTTTGTCACACTGAATGATACTTCTAGTCACAGATCATCTCCCCACCTTTAAGCAAAGACTTGGGTAAATGGGTGTGAATAGTTTATTCATCTATTCAGGTCTCTAATCAGCTACCCACCCACAATCCCTTGGGGGCCCACAATGAGTGGGCTGAGGTTGAAAAGGTGGTTTCTGCGTCTAGGGTGGTCACATTTCTGGTCCTGTTTCAGTAGATAAAACTCAAAGGCCCCACCAGTGAGTCTAGAAGAAAGGGAAAGTAGCTCTGTTTCACTAGCTTTTTCCCCTGGTTCTACAACTTTCAACATAAAAGGCATTAATCCCTGGCCAGCCTCAAATGAGTTTCCTTTTGTGGTCAACTGATTATTACTTCACCCACACAGCCTGCAAATAAATACCTTCGAGTGATGAAGGGGCACAGTGACTTCTCAGTTCTGTGGACACAATATGGCTCCTCCCCCCCAAATCACCATGAAGTCCAATCCTGGCACCTCAGGAAAGTGGGATAGTAGAAAGGCAGTGACTCTTGGCTCTCCCCAGGGACCCCAAGCCTCCCTAGTATGTAATTTTGAAAATCTAAACAGTTCCTCAAATCCTGGAAGGTGATCTTAACTGAGAGGCAGTCATGGCTCCTCAGCCCCAAGTCACATAAACCTGCAACTTCCTGGCTTCCCCTTTTCCTTCACCCTTTAGGAGCCCTTTTATTTCCTATCAGTTATTGCAGTTAACACTTCCTTAACAGATGGCTGTTGTCCAGCACCCTCAAAGTGCCCTTAACACAGTTGAGAAGCAAAATGAGGGTCTCTGAGCCCCTAATAGATGTCACCAAGTCCATTGATGATAGCTTCTGCCTCTCCTTCAAGGGCAACTCCTTGGACCCTTGCTCTGAGTTTACTTGCTGGAATTTAGACAAAAGGAATAAAACCTGATTCTTTCCTCAGCTCTCCAGTACATTAGAATTAGCCAATTAAGGGGGGGGGCAGGTAGTGAGACGTTAAAGGGTGTCAAAAGACTGCAGCAAGAAGTGAGCAAAAGGGGACAGAAAAACTGGAGAAAATGGATACAAGAACTAATTATAAGGTATGGAAATGACCCTCCTCACCCCGGTGGACTCAATAATAACTGTAGGTGAAAATTTTCCCCTTTTTTTGGGAGGGGGGCCTGAAAAGGGCTCAGATTTTAGCTCCTATTTGACAATTTTCTCATCACTTGAAATGCAACATTTGCTAACTTTTGGCTACACCCAAATAAAGTTTTACAGCTATTTCTTCTTAAGCCACTTGCTATAGTCTTCTTCAAACCTCTCTAAATTAGAAATGTCTATATCAGTTTTCTCGTACATTAAGATGCTTCTCTGAAGAAAATGCCAAGTAGCTCTTGGTAAAAATAACTGATGTTCATAATCACAACCTTGGGTTTTCAATGAGAGAATTACATCACAAGCTAAAGGATGAGGGGATCACACAGTTCGTATTTTCCTAACCAAATTGCGGGATGCATGGAGAGAAAGATATTCATTTTGTAAGGCACTAATTTTTTTTTCCTGATAGGTTGATTTTTTTGTTTTGTAACAGATATTGCATTCTAAAAAGATTTCTGCCCACATGCTTTTTTTTGAAGAACGAGAAGCACGTAGTACAGCAGATGTGTGACTCAAGGCAAATCGCTTCACCTCCCAGGGCCTCAGTTTCCCCATCTGTTCAGAAGGGTGGGGAAGGCTTTGAACTAGATGACCTTGGAGGTTCCTTCACGCTCCAAATCTGTGAATCTTCCGTTATCTTGGAAAGCCACGCGCGGAAAACCACCTCCTCCCTCCCTCCTGCCGTGGGTTTTTAACACCGTTTGCCTCGCGTGTTTAGGCTTTCATTCAAACAGTAGGCGCCTATTAAGTGCGGTGAGAGCGCGAAGTGGAAAAGGGCCTGCCCTCGGGCAGCTTATGTTCTCGGTGGGGGAGGGGCGTAAGGCGCTACAAGTCCACAAATAAAGACGGGGGGCGGGGCCAGGGGGGGAAACTAATAACTGGAGGCCATCAGTGAGGCTTCTCGTAGGCCGAGGCCCGAGCTGAAGGCGGCGAGGTGGCCACGGAGGGGGCAGCGAGGGCCTTTCCATCGCTCTCTCCGCCTCTGATTGCGCAGCCCAAGACCGGCCCGAGAGCCGCCAGGCCGAGCCGCGGAAGGAGCCTGTTGGGGCGCGGTAACTGCCCCCGGAGGCGGGACTGGGCGCTCAACGGACGCTCATTGGAGCGTTTTCTAGGGCGCACCCCGCCCCGCCCCCTCCAAGTTTGGCCTGCGTTCTCCCCGAGGGAGGGGGGTGGGAGAGTAAGGCGCCCCCTTGTGCGCTCTCGCGCTGCGGCCTCCTGCTCCTCTCCCGCCTCTTTCCGTTCTAACGCCCCCTCCCTTGGCTTTCCGGCCTAGAGACGTTACCAATCATAGAGCGCTTCATGGAAAAGGGGGTGGGGTCTGGGAGATTCGAAAGGTGCCCCGCGCCTTTGGGATCAATTCCCGCGACTAGCTTAAGAAAAAGGGTCCGCGGACTGCGCAAGGTGGGGGTCCTGTGAGCCGAGTGAAGTGGGGGGGGCGCGCGAAGGGTTGGCGTGGGGCAACAGGTCTGGTGGCGACGGGGAATTGGAAGTGACGGGAGAAAAGGTGAGAAGAAAAGGTCGGGGTTGGAGGAAGGGGTCCGCGATGGGTGGGATGAGGCCTAGAGGAGGGGGGCTGCAGGGCTGGGGAAAGTGGGGTGCGTGCAGGGTCAGGGGGTGCGGGGCGTGCAGGGGCAGGAGGCAGTGGGGCATGCAAGGTGGGGGGAGTGCTACTTGCAGGGCTGGGGAAGGGGCGTGCAGAGGGAGGCGGGGCGGCTTGCAGCGGGGAGGGAGACTTGTATGGCCATGAGGAGGCACAGGACAGGGGTTGGGGGGTGCACGTGGAGCGGCCGCCGAAACAGGGGAGAACGCATCCTCCTTTCATTCCTGGGGATGAAGGGGGAGGAGTTAGAACATACACACCCCCGCCCCCGCCCCCTGATACCTAGTGTATTTACTCACAGAGGATAGAGTTCAGGTATTGGAACTCTGGAAGACCTGAGTTCAATTTAGACTCCGGGCAAGTCACTTAACTTCTTTTTGCTTCAGTTTCCTCCTCTGTAAAATGGGGATAATAATAGTACCTACCTCCCAGGGTGGCTGTGATCAAAGGAGATCAAGTTTGTAAAGTGCTCTGCATACGTGCTGGTTATTGTTAGCATCATCATCTTCATCATCAGAGAGCAGATCATACCTAGGCCTGGGGGCTTAGGCTTTTGTCCCAGCTCTCCTGTTAACTAGCTGGGACAATCACTCTGGGCCTGTGTCCGTTGTCAAAGGAACAGGTTGGAACAAGTCACTTTTGTTTAATTTGTATATATTGCTTATTAACTTAGCTGTGTAGGAGTCAGATCATTTCCTGTGTCCCTCCCCAATAGAATATAAACTTGGGGGGCAGAGATTCTTTTTGTTTGCTTTGGTCTTTGTCTTTGTCTCCCCCTCAGTGTCTGACACATAGTGCTTAATAAAGGATTATTGAATTGAATTCCCTCCAGCTCTGACAGTCTGTGATTCCATAACACTGGCTCTCTCAGCCTAATCCAGAAAATTCTGCCAAGGAAATCCACAGCATCTCCCAGGTGGAAGGGTCCTATGATCTAGCAGTCCAACCTGTACCTGAAAGAGACTTCCTCCTGCAACATCGCCAGCAAGGGTTTATCCAGCTTCTCAAAAATCTAGTGAGGGGAGGCCCCACTCACAATCTTTGGAGGCAGTCTGTTCCACTTTAGGGCAGCTCTGATTGTTAGGAGGTTTCACCTTAACAAGAATGGAAATGTACTTATCTGCAATTTATGCCTGTTGTTTCTATTTCTGCTATCTGGGACCGATAGCAGAACCTAGAGAAGTGGGATGGTAGTAGCAAAGTCGGGAGTGCCTTCATGGGAGAATGAGGGAAGACCCCAAAAATGCCATGCTTTATTTCCAGTTCTGGCTCAAGCTGACCCAGATCCTGCCAACTACAACATGGAGAATTTGGAGGAAGGTAAGAAATCCCAGGTGCTGAAGTGGGGATCGGCCCAAGGCAGTCTGGACTCTGAATCAGTTATAGATCAATGTTAAGGAGACAAAGTTGGGAGGTGGGGAGGGATCAGCCTTAGCAGCTATTATTTCTCCCTTCAGACGTAAAGTTTATTGTGGATGAGACATTTGATTTTAGTGTGCCATCACCTTCTGACAGGTAAGGGTCCCTTTGTCCTGTCTCTCTCTGTATTTGTTACTCACTGAAGCCTTGAGAACTGGGCAGTTTGGGGAGGCTGGCATCAATGGGCTGGGTGGGTGGCCAGATGATTGGTACCATCAAGGATTAGCAGTAATAGTACAGAGCTGGGAGGGATTGATAGTGGCTGTGCTGGGATTTCAGGGCAGCAAAAGGAATAAAGACATTTGCTCATCCCTCAATGGGGGTTTTTCTGGGCCAGCCATGCCCAAGGTGGTCTGTTAGCTGTTTCATTTGCTAGTTGGTACAGCAGCAAAGGTGTACTGGCTCTCCAAAAATGCAGGACACACTTTTAAGTTTAGTCTTCATTATTAACATTTTATTACTTTCTTAACTATAGACAGTTGACAAAACAACACATCTAGCCCTGATCTGTAGCATTTGCCAATTTCTGAGGGTGTAAATGGAAAATTGAACAGTTGTCCCTGGAACCACTGCTGGGGTATCATCGAGGCACTAACTTTGTAGCCAGAACAAAAGCTAGAACTTTGAATGGATGAAAAAAGTTAAGCCCTTACTATGTGCCAGGCTCCATGGTAAGTACTGAGAATATGAATATTTTAGCCAGACAGTCCCTGCCCTCAAAGAATATATTCTAGTAGGGAAATGCAACCCATAGAGTGGAGAGCTGACTTTGGTTCAGCTGGCAGACCTATTGCTTGTTCCCTGGTCCTGTGCCCTCCTGCCCCCCTCTTTTCCCGGGTGGGAATGGTGCCTGGTTCTGGAACATCTAGATTTGCTCTCTGACCCAGCCGCGAAGAGGAAGAGGCTCCTGACCTGGTGATTCCTGAGCGGCCACCTAGGCGGGGCCTGGCCCACCGGAGTGACCTGAATGTAGTGGCTGAAGAACCTCAGGGGTTAAGGCTAAGTTTGGGCCCTCTCAGCCCTGAGAAGTTGGAGGAAATTCTTGATGAGGCCAACCGTCTGGCAGCTCGACTGGAGCAATGCGCCCTGCAGGAGAAGGACACTGGTGGTGATGGCAAGGGGCGGCGGGTGAAGGCCAGTCCCCGACGTGAGACATTTGTGGTGAAGAACAGTCCTGTCCGAGCCCTGCTGCCCACTGTGAGCTCTCCTGTCCGGGGGGCCTCTTCTCCAGGAGGCCTGACCCCCCGACTCCGGAGCAGTGAGAAGAAGGGGTCAAGCAGGGCGCTTCGAGCCACATCTGGAAAGAAGCCTTCTAGCACTAAGAAGGTGAGGGTGGAGGGACATCTGGGGATAGATACTCCAAGTGGCTAGGACAGCAGGGCTTGTTACTGTGGTGGGATGTTGGCCCCCGCCCTTATAGAGGCTTTCATGGGGATGGGTTCTGGCGACTGTCTGTGGCTGGTCTAGTGTGACCCATACAAAGGGGATTCCAGTGGGAAGTATTATATTCAGACCTGGTCGCCACATTTTAAGAACACTGACGAGGTACAGTAGAGGGAACCCAGGATAATGAGAGGACTGGAGATCGTGCCATAGTAACTAGCATTTATAAGCACCACTCTGCGCCAGGCACTGTGCTAAGCATGTTATAATAATTATCTCATCGTATCCTGACAACAACTGTGGAAAGCAGGCGCTCTCACTGTCTTCATTTTACGGAGGAGGAAACTGAGGCAAACAGAAATAAAGTGACTTGTCCAAAGTCACACAGCTCTAGTCAGTGTCTGAGGCAGGATCTGAACTCTGATCTTCCTGACTCCAGGCACTCTAGGCACTGTACCACCCAGCTGCCTTGTCATATTTAGACTTGGGAAAACCTAAGGGAGACATGGTAGTTGTCTTCAATTAATTGAAGGGCAGTTGTGTGGAAGACTAATTAGTCTTCTTCTATGACCCCCTTTTCCATATTGTGACACATGCCAGGCCCGTCCCAGGTTCAATCTGATGTCAGGATTGTGCTTTCACCACAGAAAACGTCCTGCTCCTTGTGTCTCCTATTTTCTTCCTGTCTCTTCGCTTCTCAGGAGGCGCCCACTGGCAGTGTGCTCCCCACCACAAGAAGTCAGTCTTCTCCCATCAGCCGGATTGCCCCCCCAACCCGGGGAAAAGCGGGGCCCAGTGGGAGAGCACCTGCTGCTGGTAACAAGGAACATGGCGGCCCTGCCCGGGAGGGGACAGGTCCTGGGGGAGGGGGAGATTGTGGTTCTCTGCTTAGAAAGACTTTTCTTTACCATCAGGCTTAGCTTCCGCCACAAGGCCAGCCCTTGCCCTACAACTTCCCCCAAACACCCTTCAGCGCCCAGCCCGGACTCAGGGTCCAGCTGTCAGGCCCAGCAGGCTGCCCACGCCTACTGCCATCCCCAAACCTGCCAGCCAGGCCCTGCTCTGCAGCAGAAGTCCCCTGTCTGGGAAAGGCAGCCTGCCCCTAGAAACGGCTCCGCCTCGGAAAGGGCCATCTAGACCCAGCACAGCCGGACACCGAGGTGAGGAGGAATGGACTTGGGGGAGGACACCCCAGGCTAGGCATGTCAAACCTCACCCTTGCCAAGGGCGACAGCAGAAATTCTGCGTTCCCTTTAGTTCACACGCTTGACTTAGAGAGGAGGTGACAGGGGGAGTGTGGGTCAGGGTCGAGAACCCAGAGTTCTGGACATCTGGGTCTTATAGGCTTTGCTCACTGGGATCACTGGCCTCGTGATTTCCAGGGACATTCTGCTCTCTCTTGTGTCTCCTTGTTCATTTATTTCTTTTGTTTGCCTCACCAAGGTCCTTCTACCCCGAGGTCAAATCTTCCAGTCTCTGCTGCCTCCCGAAACCATCTACAGTCCCCCAAAAAGGTGACAATCCCTGGACTCACCAGGTAATATATATTGGGGTGTACTAGGTACTCAGACTTTCTGGCCCTGCAGCTGGGTGGGTACCAGAAATGGTGCCCCAGGTTTCCTTTTCCCTACTTTTTGAGAGACTTAAGGATTTGGAACTCAGCTTGGGGAACAGATGGAGCAGGGCTGTTGGGGGGATACCAGCAATTCAAGGTGCACCTCATTTTGTCTCTGTAGGTAATGAGATCAGTCTGGCCTGTGAAAACAAACCTTAGGACCAAACCACTCCAAAGAGCAGCTGGGCTCAGGCCATGCTTTCAAGCCACCTCTCTCTCCAGCTTTTAAGAGGCATTGCGGCCATCATTACCACCCATTACCAAAGGTCCTGGACCTACCTGACCCTGATGCCTTAGCTGTAGAGAGCCTTGAGGGAGAGGGGAAATCTTGCTTTAGTTGAATGAAGGGAAAGTATTTCTGGGCTGAAAGAGTAGGGAGACAGTTTTGTTTCCTGAAGTGAAATATAACCCCTCCAGCCCCCACAAAAGAAAAAAAAAAGTGAAGAATGAAAGTAACCCCTTCTCCCATCCTATCTCCACACGACCATTCAGCTCTAGATTTGGTTGTTCAGGTGTTATTTGGCTGGGGAAAACTCTTACAAAGTGCCCATTTCCATGGTCTCTCTGTATCTTACCTTCCAGAAGAGAGAGGTGTTTCGTGAATCACATCTACCACCGGACTCGGTATTGGCTTGAGTCTAGCCAAGCCAGGTTCTGTCTTTCCAAAATCTGTCTTCTGTAAATACTTTTTAGCTCCTAAAGGACCAGTTTTATAAATTGCATACTGTTTTTTCTTTTTTAAAAAAAGCATTTTACAGGCAGCTAGGTGGTACAGTAGATGTAGTACTGGCCTTGGAGTCAGGAAGACCTGAGTTCAAATCCAGCCTAAAACACATAACACTTACTAGCTGTGTGACTCTGGGCAAGTCACTTAGCCCAATTGCGTCAACAAAAAAAAACATTTTTAAAAAATAATTCGTGTCCTTACAGAAAGTGATTGTTTCATCTTTAATAAATGTTTTGTCAACTTTTGCATGACCTTGAGGTTTGGGAGATGGGATGGGCTAGGGATGTGAAATGCTAACATTAGTGACAAACCCTTGTCAGAATTAGCCTTAGCCTCCAGAATTCTCTGCATTATGGTGGATTTGCGGGTGTTGGGTCATGGAAAAGCTGCTTCCTTCTGGAATGTGGCAAGGGGAATTATGGTTCCAACATCCAGGTTTCTGGGAGTTGGGATGATAACCTTCTAGGGTCCAGATCAGTAAGTTAAATGGAGCTTCTTTGGACGAGATAAGTGGTCTGAATATTTAGGGCCACTGGGGATTGGGTAGGTAGAGGAAGCTAGAGAATGGCCTCCATCAGGAAGACCTGGGTTCATGTCCCACCTCTGACACTGGCCTAGGTGTCCTAAGCGACCAAGACAACTCTCTCAAGGCTGACAGGTGTGAAGCAGGAGCTCATCTGCACTGTTGGAGCAAGTGCCTCATCTGGAGACCTGGCTCCAATGCAATTAGGCCGGATCAAAGCTGCGAGCAGTGGAGGGAGGCTGATGCTGCCTTCCCCATAGGAGCAATCCTTTCCCTCTTCTAAGAACTGGGTGGTGCTGGGGAGGCAGCTGGCTAGAGAGAGTGTGCTGCTGTTCACTGGTGTTAACGGGTACAAGCAGCCACACCTGAACTAGAGTATGCTCCCTTCTGCAGGGCCCTTTTGAGGCATTCTTCGTCCTTCAAATCGCTAAGGTTCTTATAAATAGGATTTTACTTATATTCAAATGCTTGTAGGTGGGGAGGGTACATTCATCTCTTCCCTATAAGACATCCCTTCTTGATGTTAACACAATATGGTACATAGGCATTTTAATGTTTACTAGCTTCTGGGATCATGGACAAATAACTTCATCTACTTCCCCAAACCTGTTTCTTGTGTAAAATGAAGCTCCCATATTTCCTCCATCCTAGGTGGTTGTGAGGAAAGCACTTTGTAACCTTAAATGTGATTACTACACATGGCAACCAGCTGCTGCTCCCCTAACACCCTTGATGGACAAGGTAGGAGGGAAGGGGTGCCTCCTACTGTTGCTTTGGCCATGGGGAGGAACCAGAGCAACTTAACTGGGGAAATGCCAAGCTTGAGATCTCCTCTCACCACCCAGGGAAGCTAAGTCCCCAGCACTCTGTCCATGGGACATTTGAGTCAGACCCTCTCATCTAGATAGGAAACTGAGACAGAACCTAATTTCAAGAAAACAAAACTGCAACCTAGTTGGCAATGTGCCAAGTCATCTCTCTGCACCACTAGATGCCAACAGAATTTATAGTGATCACATCTTCCTTAGAGCCAGAGCTAGTCAGTCCAAATGAGAACTTTTCCAATCCACTAAGGCCATATGGTTGCAGACATCAAGCAATGTGTTCTATTGCCACCTACGGGCCATAGAGTCCATCACACCCATGGCAGTGCAGGCCCCTGCAGCTGGCTGCTCTGGACAAGCCCCTGAAGGGGCCTTGTCACTGACCTGGTTCTTGGTCAGTTGCCCTGGCTACTTTTGTTTCCAGTTCTTCACCTCACCCTAACCCTCCTTTGTCCTCTTCCTTCCTCTCATTCCCACTGCCTTGCCTCACAGACTCGGTGAGTACACTTACGCCAGACAACTATGGAATCAGATTAAGAGCTCCAAAAGGCTTTGGGCCCCACCCTGTGAAACCCCTCATTTTACAAAGAAGGAAATGGAAGCCCAAGACTGACTTGCCTAGTCACAGAAAGTGTGTGGGAATCTGAGATGGGATGTGACCTAGATCCCAACTCCACACCCAGTGTTCTTTGGGGGACTGCTGGGAAAAACTTGGAAAGATGGAAGGTTGTAGGAGCCCAGACTGCAAGCTGGAAGGGACCTTACAGGCCACCTAGTTTTATACCTTCACTCTAGAGATGAAGGACTGAAGGCCCAGAAAGGTTGAGTGGTTTATCTGAAACCATGGAGGGGCACGGAAGGGATGAAGGCAGTGTCTGAAGAAGGCACTCTGAATACTGATCCCCAGCTCTCTCCTAAACCACTCTGTTTAGAGATGGACTCTAATCCCTTCTTACAGATGAGGAAACTGAGGCCCAAAGGATTTAACCCCATTTAACCTCAAGTCACCATACCTGGAATGGAAGGTTCTCAATCACCATTCCCAATTGGCCTCAGCCCTGTGCTGGGAGAAGCAGGCCCAACTGTGCTGTCACAGTGCCCACACTGGCACAAGGTCCTCCCATCTAGATCAATCCCGCCTGTCTAAGCAGCTGCATGCAGGCTCACCACCAGCGCTATGCTCCTTAAGAATGACCAGGAACAGCAATGGTGCTAAGGTTTTGTTGGTGAGCATGAGTCATGAAACAAGGGCAGGAAAGGTGCTTTCATTAGGCAGCTGTCAGGGGGCTGGGCCACCCTGAAGATCTGGCTCACAGCCCACCCTAAGACCTGCCTGAGCTTTCTTTGTCCACACCAACTCCCCTTTCTTCCAGAAGAATAAGACAAATGGGTCGAGCTGGCAGTGCTCAAACCTGTACAGAACTAGTTTATTCAGTAGAGGGAGAAGGCCAAACAAAAAAACCTATAAATATTTACAGTAACAATCAAACTGTACAGTCCAACAATTAGTAACAAGTTATGAGTCCAGCATCTTTGTGGTTTTTTTTTTTAAAGTCTTCAAGTAGTAGAAGCAGTTACAGTTTTAACCTTTTGCAGGAATTGTAAGGGGGAGGAGAAGATTGGGAAAGAGATGGGCAATCCAAGGCCTTAGGAAGAGCCATAAACTAACCTAATCTTACAGATGAGAAATGTCAAGTTTACCAGTCTGGAGCCTTTCTTCCTAGCCCATCTGCCTCCAAGAGGAAAATCGGTGACATCAGAATTTGGTCCACATGCTTAGGATAAACTGACTCAAGTAAATGGCATCTGGCAAGATGGGGGGTGGGGGTGGGGAGACACGCCATAAGGCTGAAACTAGCTTCTCCCCTTGAGACGGGAATCTGAGCCTGAAACAAGTAGACCAGGGGCTCTGGCCCCCCAAGCCAGAAGACCACAAACACTAAATCCATGACATCAGATGGCATCCACGACATCCTCTGGGGCAACCCCATCCCAACACAAAAGGCAAATAAATTAAAAATAATATATATTATCTCTCTCTTCAGAGGGAATGGGGGAGGGGGGAGGGAAGAGGAAGAGGAGGACAGGGAAGGAAGAGGAGACTAGTTCCTGGGACTTTGAAGAGAGGCAATTCTGAGAAGAGATTAAAAACCAGAATCTACCTCAGAGGCCACGGCAGGTGACAGTACGTGACATGCAGTCAGAGCTCAACCACTGCACTCCCCCCCAAACCTATGACCCCTCCTCATCTCCTGGGCCAGCCTTAGTCCCAGCTAGGAAGGGGCCGGCCACCTGGAGCCTCAAGTCTTCCCCAGCCACCTCCAGAGCAAAGGCAAACAATGTAAACCGGCCCCTCCAAAGCATGGTTTGGGCAGAAAGAAAAGCACTTTTGGGTCAGCAAACTGAGCAAAAACCTTGGTTCTTGAGCACTGCCAGAGGCCTAGAGAAAAGGAAAGGGGGCACCATCCCCAGCTGGGGGTCTTGGACTCCTGGGTCCTTTCCCCTTTACATTTGTTCATGCAGCATTGGGGGCAGGGAGGCTTGTCCTTCTACCACTCCTCCTGCAACCAGACAGCAGTCTTCACTTCTTTTCAAGGGGCAATTGCGGTGTGTCTCTTATCCTCTCTCCCCCAAACTGGAGCTTCTCTGGGAGTCCAGCTGGCAAGGCTGAGTGTCCCCTGCAGGAAGTGTGTGGCTTTGTCCTTTTCTTTTGGTGATGGTAGAAGGGAGGGCGGGAAATTCCCATGCCCCCCAAGGACCTTCCCCATCTCCCAGGCACAGCAGATGGGAAACTGGGGGGAGGCAGGGGAGAATCCTAGGAGGTCCCATCCTCTAGTGGGTGGAGTAGAGTCAGTTTTTGTCATATAAAAAATTCATCCCTGAAGACACAAGAGCGGAGATCCTTCCAGTTTTTTTTCTCTCTTTTTTTCCTCTTTTCTGAAAAAACGTTTCCTTGGAAGTGTGGCCCCAGGGGTCCAAAGTGCGTTGGGGCCAAGGGGAGATGGCAGGGGTGATTGGCACAAGATAGGCTGGGGGAGTGGGCATTCCTCCTGGCAATGCCCAAAGGCTCCTCAGATGGATGTCTCGTCACTGCTGTGGGGCAGGAAGAGGGAAATTGGGGTGGGGTGGGGAGGGGAATAGGGGAAAAAGCACAAGATACAGTATGGAGCCATGAGGGAGTGGGAAGCCTTAGGCGTGGGGGCCATGGGCCCAGGGTTAATGCAGGAAGTTAAAGAAGAGAAATCTGGAGATGCAGGAAAGGAAAAGTGACAGAAAGGCAGAGAGCAGGTTAGTTTCAGAGCAGAGGAGACAGAAGCTTTCAACCAGAGAAGGAAAACAGGAAAGAAACCCCAGCCCTCAGATTCCTCGACTTTCCCACCTGAAATCTGTATGCCCACCCTTCCCTGGCCCAGGCTTCTCTCCCTCCTGGCTGTCTCCCTACCCACTTCAGAACGCTCCGGGTTTACTGAGGGAGGGGCTGCCCCAGAGAGCGCTGGGCACCCCATGATCCCTGACTCCTGCCACGGGAGCAGCTGCCTCAGGGAGTGAGGGAGGAGAGTAAAGGGGGAGGAAGGGAAGCTTGTCTGGGGGGCTGTGGGGAGGCCACATACTCACTCTGAGCCTGACGAGTCCTCATCTACTGTGCCTGCCTTGATGCTCATGGCAATAGGGGTGACCCCGTTCAGCTGCTCCTGAAGCGTCTGTCGGGGAGGTGGGCGAGGTGGGAGGGGGCCGGCCCGGCTGCCCTCGCTGGCTGATGAGCCCCGGGAAGAACCGGTGCCTGGCTCAGGTGGCAGCCGTAGGAGGTTGCTTTTCTCACTGATGGTTGGGAGACACTTCTTCTTGAGTATACCTGGGAGGGAAGGAAGTAGCAGTAATTAGGGCCTGGCAGGAGCAGAGGTGGGCCCTGATAAAAACAAATACGGCCAAGGACAGGAGAGAGACAGAGAAAACATATGTACTATAAACAGAAATAACCGGAAGGCAAAGATTGCTTAGAATATGGTAGTAGGTGGAACTTTAGAAGAGCTGTCATTCGAACTCAGATCTTCTACCACCAAATACAATACACTTCCCACTATACTCCAGTCCCCTGAACAAACAGGAAGGATGGGAGTTTTCTGGGGGATGGTGGGAGGAAGCTGAATTCAGGTGAAAAATGGAAGGCATGAGGCTATGTGGCTCACCTTTGTGGGGCTGCACAGCAGGTCCAGGCAGGGGGCCCAGGGTGCTATCCCGACACAAGGCTTCTCCATTCTCCTCCTTGGAGGCTGTCACAAGCTCACTGGGCCAAGGGGCTTTGCCAGGCCCTGGACCACCATCAGCTGGAGGAAGGAAAGTGGGTCAGGGTCCAGGGAGCCTCTCTCCCAGATTCCCTTCCCAAGAGCCCCCAAGCTGCCGGATGAGGACTCTCCAGGCCAGGCCCCTTCCCCAGAGAGTCTCAGTGTTGCGGCCAAGGTTGCTATGCCCACCCTTCCCCAGGAGACTAGCTCCCACCCACCACAACTGCCCTGTCTACCTTTGGGGGTACTATGCAGTGGTAATCTTTCAGCACCAGGTCCCAGCAAGCTGTCCCAGCCTGGCTCCCCAGGGAAAGCACCATCCTCCTCTTCCTCTTCACTGTCTGATGAGTGGGTGGATGCATAGGAACCACTCTGGTCATCCTCGAGGGACAGGTCACTGTCTGAATCTGTGTCAGGCCCTGGAAGGGTTAGGAGAGAAGGAGTCAGAGACTCCCCTCCACAGACCCCAAACCCACAAGCCCATGGCAACAGAGGGTGAGTGTGGGATGACAGAAGTTCCCCACGATGCCCACCAGGGAGGTGGGCTCAGGAGCTCACCGTGCTGCTGGCCTGGAGCTTCCAGGAACAGGACTCCTGGGTCCCCTAATGCAGCTGGTCCTTGGCCAGTGTTCAGGCTTGATTCTTCCCTGCAGGGAGACAAGGTCACTCTGTAGTGGGCATCGATTTCATGATGGTGGCCTGCTCATTTTCTCCTCTGCCCTGTCTCTCTGCCCCGTGTTTCAGTCCCAGCCTCTCTTCCACCCCCCAACCCCAGCTTGCCTCTCTCCCTTTCTTGCTCCCAATGCCTGGCTGAGTCGGTTGGACCACAGCGACCTCAAGAGAGCCCCTCCTCTTTGGGAGGCCCACCTCTCCTGCCCGAGGGTCTCACCTGAGCAGGAAGGGAATGTAGCTGGGCTGACTCTTGCCTGAGCGGCTGGCACTGTGCAGGGAGCCAGCCGAGTCTCCATAGGGCTGGTAGAGTCGTCCATCTACATAGGGACTGGGGCAGTTGTAGGACTGGGGATGGAGATAAAGGTAAGCAGTAATGCCCAGGAAGCTTCCCTGAGTCCCTGCTTCTCCCTGTAGCCTACCATGGTTCTCACTTTCCCTTTGTTTGATAAAACATTCCCTGGCCCCCGTAATGGGCACCTGGCAGTGAAAACCAACGGAAATTTCTGAGTGAAGTCAGCACGTGTAAAGGAGCTCATCCCTCCTCTTACAGAACCTCATGTACCACAGGAAGAGTTCTCCAAAGGCCCTCTTGGCTCCAAGCACTTGCTACCTCATAATCACCACCATTCTTGTCCTCCTCAAAAAAAAAAATCCCCACTAGTTCTCTCTAGAACTACAAGTCAAATATTCCTAGCTCCTTGCACCCAATGACCTCCTTATCCTAGATATAAACACTGTTCCATTCTACCTTTGGGGAACAGGGAGGATTTGTGGAACAAAATTCAACCCAACCAACATTTCCTAAATAGTCGTCATGCACTCCACGCATGTCACTGTGCTAGGCACTGGGGATTCAGACAGACAAAACCTGCCTCTACCCTAAAAGAGCTCATGTCCTACTGGGGAAGCAGGAGACCACAACTACCCCATCTCTAAGGTCCACACCCTAGTGGCCCTCACCTCCAAGGTTACTGCACCCCCCCTTGGCACCACCCAAGCCCACTCCAGTCCCCTTCCCTCCCTACCATGAGCTCTTGGCCTCCCACTGTGCCCCTCTCACCGAGGTTAGAGTAGATTTGGTAGTAAGGGCAGGGTCAGGGCTGGGTTTGTGGCTACAGGCAAACTTCAGGGCCTTACGGACCTCCTTGCTGAGCACTACATATGAGAGGAAGATGAAGGGGCCCTGGAAGGAGAAGAAGGATGTAGGAGGGTGTCCAGGAGTCAGGTAACCCCAGAGACCCCCTCATGACCACAGACCACTGAAAGCCCCCAAGCCCTTGAGGAATTCTCCCCACCCACCCCATACTCCCAATCTTGGCCAGCATCCCAATGCCACAGGGTTCCTCTGGGATTCCTCGTGCCCACCCAGCCACAGCTACTACCTGGACACAGTTGCAGGCAGCAAAGAGGTGGTGAAAGAGGAGAGTGTCACTGTTGACAGACAGCAGGGCCAGCAGCCACGTGGCACTGAGCAGGAGCAGCACAGCAAAGGCCGAGCGCAAACCTGAACTGAGGAAAGATAGGGCACTGCCCTGTGACCCCCAGGTAATGACTGGCCCCATGATGCCCCTCATGCACTGTGGTGGGCATGGCCTAGGATAACATCTCCACCCCCTGGTGCTACTGCCCCATACTCACACGGTGCCCTTCTTCTCAAACCCCTGGCGCTGGGCAGCACACGAGGCACGGGCTGCCAGGAGATACAGAAAGACACTCATCTGGGCGTAGGAGAGAAGGAATGTTACCAATGGAGGGAGATAAGAGTCCAGCCCCCAACCCAAGAGGTCTCGGCCTCTCATCCATCTCCAGCCAGTAAATGTTATCTCATCATGGTGTACCTCGGATGTTATGTTAGATGCACCAAGTTGCAAATGACAAGTGGTCTCCCTGTCAGAATAGAAGCTGCTGAGAGCAGGAGCAGCTCTCACATAGCACAAGATTAATTAACATTTCTAGTCTGCTTTTAGGAGAACAGGAGAAACCCCAAACCACCTGCACATGCCCTTCCACCCCTCACTGCCATATCCTCTCAACATGGACTCTCATCCCCGTCACACTTCCCCTGAGGGGACCAGGAGGCCTCCCCTTCCCGGCTCTCACCGATACCGCAAAGGCCACAGGGCCGGCAAAGCTCCAGATGAGAGTGTCATAGATGGAGAGCCAGCAGAAGTCAGGGTTCCCATAGCCCTCAGGGTCTAGTCCCACTGCCAGGCCTATGGAAACAGGAAAAGAGAAGGGTCAGGGATTGGAGCCTGAAGGAATGACAATAATAAATCAGTATTACGGTTGTGGCTAACATTTATCTAGCGCTTACCATGTGCTAGGCCCTGGGCTAAGTGCTTTTTACAGGTAGTATCTCACTTGTTCCTCACAACAACCCTGACAGGTAGGTGCCATTGTATCATTCCCATTTTACAGTTGAGGAAACTGAGGCAGGCTGCTAAGTCATTTGCCCAGGGTCACACCACAAGGAAGTATCTGAGGCTGGATCTGAACTCCCGACTCCAGGCCCAGGGCTCAATCCACTGTGCTACCAGTTGCCTCATGAGGGTCCCCGGGTTCTTGTGCCATCTTCTTCAGGGAACTATCCTAAAGTGATCTCCTTTAACACTAGAACCCTGGTTGCCATGGAGTGCCTAGCTTTGGGCTCCTAGACCTGTATAATGGATGACCAACTCCTGTATAGCCTAGGTGGACCAGGTACCACCAGCTGGGCAGCGATGGGGCTCCTATGAAAGAGGCAGGCACCTGTGATGAAGGCAGGCACTCCCCAGCCCAGCATGTAGTAGAAGCGCATGGGGCCAGTGTTGACGTCTCGAACCTCAGTAAGGGCGCGGTACAAGTGCAGTGCCTCCAGCAGGGCCCAGGAGAAAGCGCACAGGTACAGAAAGTGCAGCAGGATGGCGATGACAGTGCAGGCAAACTGTGAGAGCAGGGCACAGATGAAGGCTCAGCCTAGCCAGGGCCCCAGGGTCTATCAGACCAGTGCCAGAGGCTGTGCCTGATTCCTGGGTTCCCTTCCCTGAAACCATAGTATGTGTGGGGGGCACACAAGGTTCTTATTCTGGGGTCTGTGAACTTGGGTGGGAAAAATTATATCTTTATTTCTATTAGGATAATTCTCTGCATTTCATTTTACATACATGATCCTGAGAAGGATCTATGACCCACAGAACAAGGGGAGAGCCTCTGGGCTGGGCCACAGAAGAGGAGGGTCTTGGGACAAGTGTCAGAGCAAATGTAGGAGGTGGGCTGGGAGGAAGTGCCAGGAAGGGGGGCAGGGAGGAGAGATGGACAGGGAGAGAGAGAGGGACAGAGAGGGAGAGAGGGAGGGGGAGAGAGAGAGAAAGAGAGAGAGAGAGAGAGAGAGAGAGTGTGAGTGTGGGGGGGAGCTAAGGTGGCAACACAGAATCATGGAAGGAGGCCCAGGGAATCAAGAAGGGATTGACTTAGGGGGAGGGCCCCTGGGGAGCCAAGGAAAGACTTTGGCTGAGGGAAGGAGAGGCAGAGAAGACAGGAGGACACTCACCGGCAGGTCAGCCTGATTGATACCTAGCAGGAAGACAAGCTGGGCCAGGCCGAGGGCAGCGACCAGGTTCCTACGGATGCCATGCTGGTTGGAGCGCAGGGCCCGCAAGGAGGTGAGGAAAAGAAAGGTGAGGAGCAGGGCAGCCAGGGTCACACCCAGGGCTGCATAAGTCACTGTCTTCAGGGGCAGAATCTCCCCATTCTGCAGGGCAAGGGAGGACCAGTCAGGGCATCAGGAGGGCAGAGGGTATTCACTCCCCTCTCCCATGGGACCTTGTCTATGCTTCCATCCCATGGCCCCCCATCTTCACCCCCAATCCCACAGCTTCCTCCCTCCTTCCCATGCCACAGTTCCCACCTCCCGGCGGGACACGTCCATGAGCACTGCGAAGCTGGTCATGTGGTTACACTGGCAGCTGACGTGGCTCTCGTTTCTGAAGACCACCTCACAGCCCCGGGCTGACCAGCCACCTGTCCCGCTCACCCTGGGGGAAGGGAAGGGAAGCAGGACATCAGCAGGTCTGGGGTCACCAAGGCATGGAGCTGGGTGAAGGTAACTGGTGTTCTGCCTCTGGAACCCTCCTTGCTCACACATGCAGTTTCCTGTAGCTCCACGGCAGGGTTTGTGTTCTGACTGGGGGGGTGCAATGTGGGGATGGAGGGGAACAGGATCAGGGACCTTGCTCAGTGTGTGGCCCAGCCGCCAAGTCCTTGCCACTAGTGGCTTAAGTGACCACAAAGGGAAGGGAAAGAGGCAGGGCAGAGGAAGCATCCAGGCTCCAGGCTTTGCCGGAGACCCTTCCACTCTTGGCCCCAGCTCACAGAATCGAGTGATTCCAGAAGACACAGATGGGTTTCGAGCGCTCCTCAGTCTCCAGAAGCCGAAACTGCACCGTGACAGGCTTGTCCAGGGCCCGTGGCAGCTGATCCTCATCATCGTGGACACTGATGCTCACCACTGGTGTGTTGATGACAGGACGTTTGGGGACCCTGGTGGGGAGGAAGGAGACAGGGCCCCCCCGGCCACGCAGGGGTCATATGCACATATGCACACATGCATGTACATGCACATGTTACACGCCTCCTGCACACTCTCTGACAGGGTTGTAGTGAGGATCAAATAACATAAGGGATGGACTTTGTCAACCTTAAAGCACTATCTAAATGCCAGCTATGTTAATGGACCCTGTCACAACCATAACCCCAATCACTGGATGGCCCCACCTGCCCGGGCTCTCCCCCAACCAGTTCTTCATCAGAATACGGGCAGCGGGAGCTCACCGGAGACTGCGCTTGTCAGGGTCGTAGTTGTGGGGCAGCAGCCCAGCCAGGGTGCGATAGATGATCACGCTGGCCACTGCCTGGCCCTGGCTTAGCTCTGGGTGTCTCCTCTGCCTCCGCCCCAGCTCCTCTTGCTCCCGAGCCTCACCTGGCACCACTGGCCCACCTGCTGGGTGATGGTCTGAGGAGGACGACAGCGAGACTTTCAGCTCACAGGCCTCCCCTTCCCCTTCCCTTAAGACACCTCCCCCAGTATGGTTGCCAGGCCTACACAAATTCTTCCCCATGAACTCTGATCCTTCTCTTCCCAACCCCTTAAGCCCTCTGCCTTTGAATCCACCCCTCCATACCTCCTCCTAAGAGCTCACCCCCACCACACTAACCTTGACTTTCTGCTGGCTTAAAAACGGATTCAGGGAGGATGACAGTTGTCTCAAGGTCAGGAGGCCGCTCCCCCCGAAGTGCCTCGTAGTGGGGCAGCTTAGCCCCAGCAAAGTTCCCCTTGTCCAGGCGCACAACAGAAATGACTGGGGGAAGGGGAAGACGTGACAGGTCAGGTCTCCCTAGCCTTAAGGCATGAACTACAGCCAACATCTGTTGTGGGACTTGTTAGTTCCCTAGGACTCCAGTCCCTGTAATACCAGGATACCCATTCCACCACCCTTCAGACCTCCCTTTTTAATTGCTGAATGGGCCAGCCTCAGTCTCCCCATCCCCGCCTCCACCCCAGTCCCCCCCGGACCCTGTCCTGACCAATATTGGGGGTGATGATGGTAAATGGGCTCAGGTAGGTGTGGCGCATGTTCTGGGCAAGGGCACTGGCATAGGCCTCGTAGTGGTGTAGCAACCAGGCCGTGCCACCCTCCGTCTGCTGAATCAGTTCCCAGTGACGCTTGTTACCAATGTCTAGAAGGGCGCTGCCAACCCTCAGCAGATTCTGTGAGAGAGAGGAGCAGAAGGAAGCAGAATCAGGCTGTGGAGGCCCAGCTCTCCTCACCAACTCCCCAGTACGGCAGCAGGCAAAGGAAGGCCACTCTTGGACATTCTCCCCTCCCCCGTCCCTAAGCCTGTACCTGGATCAGCTCCCAGTGAGAGAGAGATTTCTTTCTCCTGTCTATGATGCACCTCCTCCTTCCTTTATCAAAGCCCAAGGTCATTTCCTCCAGGAAGTCTTTCCCTCTTTGAACAATCCAACCTAGCTCTCTGCCATGAGCCCTGATCCCATTTCTTCTGACACGCGCTTGCTCTGGCCACACTGAGCTTCTAGAGGGAAAGCTCCCAGCTCTGGCCCAGGCCCTGGATGGGAATCTGCCTGGGGAGACCCTCTCCTAACTTCAGAACTGCCTGGCCCACCCTGAGACCAGTGCCCTGCCCCCACCTCTGTGAAGTGCACGTCCTGGGTGGCAGCCAGCCCGAAGCCCCGCTGGATGCTCTCGTGGGCCAGCAGCTTAGTGGCCAGCTGGTAGGCCACCCTGACATCACTGCCAAAGTAGCCAGCCGTGTGCTGTGTGGCGTTCCGGAGCAGCACTGCCAGCCGCTGGGAGCGCCCGGCATCCAAGCCGGACTCATTCCTCTGCAGCCGTTCAGCCTGGGAACGTGGACATAGAGGAATGAGAAACCAGAGCGGGGAACATAGGAGCACCAACGCCGAGAGAGCATTCCACCCAAGGCTCATGATGCCAGGTGAGGCAGGAAATCACTTTTGAGGTGAGGAAATGGGGTCAGGGTGTGCTTAAGGTCTTGTCTGGGACCACAGGCTAGCACGCTGTTTGCCATCTGCCACAAGGGCACTACTTTGCCAAGTGCAGATAAAGGGGTTTGGGTCTTTGACGAGCACAATTGCAATCTCCCTTTCTTCTCCCTGTGAAGTCAAGGGGGCCAGAAGGCAATGTGTGGTGTGTGGGAGTTAATGAGAGTAGGAGTGACACCGGCAAAGCTGAAGAATAAAGGAATAACCAACGTTGGAGTTGCTGTGGGAAAGCAGGTCACTGAGGCCCTCTTGGTAGAGCTGTGAACTGGCCCCGCCATTCGGGAAGGCAGTTTGAACTATGCCGCCAAAACTATGAAACTGGCATGCCCCATGACCCAGGGATTCCACTGCTGGATCAAGACCCCAAGGAAGTCAGCAAAAGAGGGAAAGGAGCCACAGAGAGAAAAACATTTACAGCAGTTCTGTTTGTGGTGGCAAAGAACTGTGAGCAGAAGGGACGTGGATCAAGTAGGCAACGGCTGAACCAGGCACACCCTTGAGAGTGATGCTGTAAGAAACGAGGCAAGGGATGGCTTCTGAGAAGCCTGGGAAGACTTGTATGAAATGATGCAGAGGCAAGTGAGCAGAACCAGGAGAACCATTTATACATTAACAGGGATACTGTGAAGATAAATCAACTTTGAAAGACTCAGGAACTCTGAAGGAGAAAGGGAAAGGATAAGCATTTGCTGAGCATCTACTATGTGCCAGGCACTATGCTAAGCATTTTTTACAAATATTATCTCATTTGATTCTCACAACAACCCTGGAACGTAGGTATTGTTATCCCTGTTTTATAGATGAGGAAACTGAGGCAAATAGAAGTTCAGTGACTTGCCCAGGGTCACACAGCTAATAAGTGAGGCCAAATTTGTACTCAGATCTTATTGACTCCAGGCCCAGGGCTCTATCCAACGTGCCATCCAGTTGCCTCTATTCCCACCAATGCAGGACATTTGTTTTGCTTTACTACGCATATCTGAAATGGATTTCGTTTTCTTTCTTTGGGTGGGAAAAGGGAGATGGCAGGGAGCAAATCTGGAACTGAAAATTAAAAAAAAAAAAAAGGAATTACAACCAATATTTCCTAGAAATTCTACTTCCCATACAGCATTATTTCCTTTGGAGCTAATGGCCAAGAAACCATGGCTGCAGAGAACGAGTGTCCCTATGGTGGTCTCCCTCTAAGGGTCATATATCCAGAACAGACTTAAGAGGTCATCTTGTCCAACCCTCTCATATTAAAAAGGAAGACCCCAGGAAGGGCCTGAAGCCTGGGAAGGCTGAGACTTGTCAGAGACAGGATGTGAGGTCAGGGCCTCTCTTCCCATAATGCGTCATAGTCCATCTGTTCCCTGGACTCCCCCCTTTCTGAGGTGGATGGTGAGTGGGCCACAGAGGCAGAGCTACTTACAAAGCCCTTCAGCTCCGAAGGTGACTGAAGTACAGTTGAAGAGGTCGGGGGGCAACCATCCTCGGTGTTCATCACAGTGCCGTACTGCTGTCCCTGGTGGGGAGCAGACAGGATGAGGGGCCACAGTGTGGAGGGGGGAAGAAAGAGGAAGAGGGGACTTTCTTGAGACTCAGGCCCACTTCGTGCTACCCTCCAAGTGATCACGTGTGTATCCATGCTCTCTCCCCTCTTCCTTGATCAAATCAATAGCCTTTCAAACGTCTGCAACAGAGGCAGTGTAGGATGGTAGAAAGCATGCTGCAGATGGATTCGGGGAAAACCTGGGTTCAAATTCTGCCTGGGACACTTACTAGCTGGAAGATGGTAAACCAGTTAGATAAATCCAAGCATTTATGCCCTAAAGCCTGGACAAGTTGGGATTTGCCCCTGGGCTGGCGCAGGGCGTTCCCATCCTAGAAGCTCTTCCACTGAGGAAAGTACAGAAGCTTTGGTAAGCGTTTTACATAAATTCTCTAGACTACCTCCAGGGTAATTATTAGCCTCTTTTTACCCCTCCCCTGAGGGGCAGGGGCAGGGCCTGGGCCTGCGCCTGCGGATTCACTGGAATAGGGAGCCCCACCCTGGCAGAGAAAGCTGCCTAGAGTGCTGATCTCTGATTGGACTTGCCCAGGGTCATAAAGCTAAGATGCGTGAGAGGCAGACCCTGACCAGGCCTTCTGGCTGTGAGGCTGGTCCTTTATCCAGTGGTCCTTCAGGGCCCCTCCTTCTCTCTCCAACAGCCCATCCTCAGCTGAGTTAGATGGTACCCAGCTCATACCCAGGACCATCCTAAGCTGCTGTACCCTCGTTCATCTCTGTTAGTTAACGGTAAGCACACTCCAGGGAGAGGAGGGAGGCCGGCTCAATGCCTAGTGCTCACAGGTGCTCTGTGAACATCTGCTAGCTAACTGAGCTGCAGGAGCTTGTCTGATGGTCTGGGGAGCAGGCCCCAAACATTAGCAGTGGCTCCCCTACAGCCGCAGGAAGCCAGGAAGCCCTGGCCTCACCTATGGGACCTCTGAACTCAGATCAGAGGCGTCAGCAGTCAGCAGGACCCAAGTACAGGTGGCATCCTAAAAATGAGGAAAACCTACCGAAGGAGCCCTTGGGGCACGGCGCTGCAGCGGGCAGCCCAAATCGGGTCCGAGGCCACCAGATGCCAGCTTCGATCGCCCTTGGGCAGCTGTCATAATTCACTGCAATGGGAGAGACAAGGTTACTGGGGATGGGGACAGGGCTGCCACAGAAAGTCCTCTCCATCCTCTTCTCCAGCAGATGTGTCAGAAGACAAAACAAAATTTCCTTAAGGGTAAGCTCTTCATTATTTCCCTGGGAAGGGGCTAGCAGGCAGGAGCCTGAGGTCTTCCTGGAAGCTGACAAGTCTGGAGATGCATTCAGGCCACTGTGCAGAGCTCTCCGCACACTGACCCTCCGAGAAGGATGCTGCAAAGCACAGTTTGGGGACCCAGCTTGATCTCCCATAACCTGCATACCCACCTTCACAGCCATTGGCTGTCACCTCGGCAAAGGGGTTGTCACAGCGGTCACACTGACGCCCAATGACTCCAGGCTTACAAGGGCACTGGCCATCCTCTGGATCACAGACCCGGGACAGAGAACCCGTGGGGTAACAATCACACAGGAGGCAGGCAGGGCTATCCAGTGGCCGGTAATGATTCTCCTAATGGGGGAGGGAGCAGAGGAAAGGGAGATGATGAAGGAAGTGCCAGACACAACCATCTCTTCCCACTGTCCCTCTCCATGACTCTCAGGTATGGACCTTCAGGGCAGAATCCTGGCCCCCAAGGCACAAGGAAGGGCACACATCTGAATGGAAGTCCCTCTTATTTCCTCCCTATCCTTTTGCCTAACATTCCTCTCTTCCACATTCTTCCTCAGTGGCCCTAATGTAGCAACTAAGGACTTGCATGGACAATGAGTAGCCCCTTGGGCAGGGGGAGGGTCAGGCAGGTCTGCAGAGTAGCCCCAACAGGCCAGCCAGTGCTAATGACCTTGCAACGGCATTCTCCACTTGTCTTGTTACAGTCGGGATCGAAGCCTTGGCTGACATCACAATTGCATGGGCCACACATGGGATGTCCCCACCAGCCCCGAGGGCACGGCTGGTCAATCCTGCGGAGAAAGGCCACCCACAGACATAAGTGGCAATCCATTTACAGTGGAATTGCGCGGTTGAAGAGAATACTGGTTCAGCAGTCAGATGACCTGGATTCAACCTGCCTCTGATACTTACAGTATACTTTGTGTGACCTGAGTAAAGTCCCTTCTCTACTCCACACCATTGAGGGAGCTGTACTAGAGGCCTCGGAGGTCCCTCCCAGCTCTAAATCTAAGACACAGTATGATATACAGATTAAATATACAGTGTGAAGCACACTGAGACCTGGAATGTACTCCCTCCTTCCCTCCAAGTCTGGACCATCCTTTGAGGTTCAGGTCAAATGCCCCTCCCTCTCACTCATCCCACATCTCCCATCCATTGTCGACCCTGTCGTCTCTACCTTCAAACAACTTTCCTATGTGTCCCTTCCTCTCCACTCATGTGACCACTACCTAATTCAGGCTGGTCTGGACTACTCCAATAGCCTCCTAACTGGCCTCCCTGTCTCAAAGATCTGACCAAAGCCTAGGTCTGCCTGGTCCTGCCGCCTTCCCCCTAGCATCACAGGGACTCCCTATTACCTCCAGGACCCAGAACAGAGACCTCAGTTTGGCCTGCCCCACTCTTCACAACCCAAGCCCTTCTTGCTCTTCCTTGGCAACACCCCACGCTCTAATCTGGCCACACTGGCCTTGCTGCTGCTCCTCACACGCCTGCATGCCTTTGACCTGGCTGTCCTCTGTGCCTGGAAGGCCCTCCTCTTTCACTTCTCTCTCTTCGTCTTCCACACTTCCTTCAAGATTTAAATCCCAGGGGGCAGCTAGGTGGGGCAGTGGATAGAGCACCAGCCCTGAAGTCAGGAGTACCTGAGTTCAAATCCGGCCTCAGACCAAACACTTGACACTTATTAGCTGTGTGACCTTAGGCAAGTCACTTAACCCCAACTGCCTTAAAAAAAAAAGATTTAAATCCCACCTTCTGCAGGAGGTATGGCCCTGTCCCCCGGCACCAGCACCTTCTCTGCTCTATAAAAACCTTGGGTGTATATCATTATTTACGCCTGGTTTCCCCCATTACAAGGGAAGCACCTTGAGGACAGGGACGATATTTTTTACTTTCTTCATATCTCTAGAGCTTAGTACCATGCCTGGCACAAGTAAACAATTAACAAATGCTCAGTGATTCCCTGATGAAGTTATTCCTTATTTCCCCCTCTCCCCAGTTACTAAGCTCCTTGAATAATAACATCGAACATGATGTTGTTACATAATAATAACACTAGTATTTACGGTACTTCAAGGTTTGCAAAGCACTTTACACAACTTGTTTGACCCTCATAACAATTCCGTGAAGTAGATGCTGTTACTATCCTCATCTTTCAGATGACAAGACTAAGACTAAAAAGGTTAAGTGACTTGCCCAAGGTCACCCAGCTTTCTGAGTGATACAGGATTTGAACTTGGGTCTTCCTGACTCCAAGCTAAGTATTCTCTCTGCTGTGCCATGGGGCTGCCTCTACAACAGGGACTGTCATTTTTGTCTTTTCATCCCTAGCACCTGACAGCGTGTCTAGCACATTCCGAAGGGACTACACCATGTTTCCCTGGTGTCAGGAATTCCTGATGAAGATACTCCCTCTCACCAATGCAGACCTGTACCTGAGAGGTACCCAGGGTCAGAGACCCAACGCGTGTCAAAGGCAGGACTGGCACCCAGCCCTTGAGGCTGCCTCTCTGTCCACTACACCAGCTGAACTCTGCCTCGCACAGTCCATGATTATTAAGCGCATTCATTTTAGGGCAAGGATAGGTTTCTTGCCCCCATATGGCCACTCATGTAGAAGAACTAGAAAGGACTTCTGAGGCCATCTGGCCCATCCCCTGCTCAACCGGAAATCCTCTCTACAACATTCCAGCCTCCCACGAAGACCACTGACATGCTGCCCCAACCCAAGGCCACGCACCTGGTCTCACAGTACGGCCCAAAGTAGTTGTGGGGACACTCGCAGGTGTAGCCATGAGGGGCACTGGGCTTACGGGTACACACGGACTGGTGCTCGCAGGGGTTCAGGGTACAGACGTTGGCACAGCTATCACCGTAGTAACCTGAAGCCACAGACTAAGCCATCAGGGCTTAGTCCTCTTGGCCTCATTTTTCTGCTCACCTCCTCTTTCCCTAGTGGCCCACCCTCCCTCTCTCTCCATGGTCCCCTATTCCCCACGGTGCCTGACCGCCCATCTACCCCCATGCCCCTGTTCAGTACCAGGATCACAGCTGCAGGAGTAGCTGTCCCAGTCATCACTGCAGTAGCTGTTAGTGGGGCAGGGGTTTGAGTCACAAGGATCAGGGAGGCTACAGCCCTGCTCGACATTGGCACGTTCTGCTCTGCTGGGGTCAAGGCTGCTGGCACCATCTGCGGTCTCACCCACTCGCACGCCCTGGGGAGAAGAGGCAGTATTCCCATCCCTCAGAGTGAGGAGGGCAGGGCCAGTCTGAGTGGGCAGGCTGCCTGGAGGAAGGGCAGTTTCTCCATCTCCCTACCTGACACTCACCTGCATACAGCCCCGGAAGCCCTGGGCCACAGTTCCACCAGGTCCCACCACACCACCCACAGTGACATTTGTGAGGTGTAGCCCGTGCAGCCGGGGTCCGAGGTTGCCTTCTGCCTGTTGCTGCCCATAGTCAAATGACAGGACAGCATGGCCAGGCTCTCGGGCACCTCCGCTGACTCCAAGCACAAGCTGCACATGGTGCCAATCCCCATCGTTAGCCCTGCCTGGCTCCAGCCAAAGAGAGGACATCTGGACACCGGTACCCTCCACACTCAGCATCACGTGGCCCTCTCTCATCTGGGGAAGGGAGAGAGCAGAGAAGATAAAATGTCTGGGAACTGCTTTTATCTACCTTGTCCATTCTCATTTCTGCTGCTGCTGGTTACAGCACCCACCCACCAGTCAACCTATAAAAAGGGCACAGTGTTGTAATGTATGTGTCCTGCAGATGGCACTGTTGTCCACCCCAAAGAAGATGAGGGCTTTCCTAAGTATCTCTGCCATTTCTGATCCAAATGCCCTGTCCCAGCCTTTATCCCAGAGACCCGTCCCCTCTTCTCTATTCCTACCCATTCCCAATCCCACTCTGAAGGTCCACCTGTAGGGTGATGGTACTGTGCCCTCTGGTGATCCCCTGCAACAGGACGCCATCTGCTTGGCGCGTACGGAACATAAGGCTGAGGTGCCAGGACTGGGTGATGGGAAGTGCCAAGCCATGCCAGGCCATTAGGCTCCTACCCAGGAAGCGCTGAGGATCTGCCATCTCTGAAGAAGTCAAGGAAATGGGACAAGGAAATCAGGGAAGAAATGGTTAAAGCAATCAGGGGAAATTTTCTGCCATGGGGAAGGGGGTGTAGGGTACAGCTGCCCATGTGCAGCAGATCCCTGCCCTGCCCACTCACCCCCAATCCCAGCCCCACAATACTCTTCCCGCCACACCCTGGGAGCCAAGCTCAGACCCGCAGTCTGACTGGGCCCATTGTCTCCTCTGCTGCCCACCCCAGGGCAGCTTCGCCCAGGCAAGCTTTTCCACCCACAGACAGACTTGCTCTGTCTGAGACATCCTGGCTCCCAAGCCTGAAGGAGAAGCAGGAGGTCAGAGTGCGTGGAGACTGCCCTATGCTCAGCCCTAATTCGCTAGCTTACCCTGGGCACAGCTCTTGCCACCATAGCCCAGAGGGCACTCGCAGCTGAACGTATCCCACTGGTTGACACAGGTACCCCCATTGTGGCAGGTGTTGCTGTCACATACGTTCTTCTTGGCTGGGCACCCTGGAAGAGGTAGAGGGTCTCAGGGTGGGCCTGGTGCCTGGGCAGCCCCTGGCAGAGCAGACAGTAGCCGGCCCTCCCCTCTGCTGTGCTGAGGGAGAGTTGTCCCCCCACCCCCACGGTCTCCCCACTCCTATCCCCTCATACCGGGCACAGTGCCGTTGTTGGCGATGAAGTCAGCCATGTCCACACGCCGGCTATCTACCTGCAGGTTTCGCATACAGCCCACAAAGTGGCGGGTGCGGATGGGAAAGCTCTCAGGCAGGTCAGGAACCCCTCCCAGTAGCAGGGGACCTGTCAGATCCAGGGATCTGATCCAGATATCACAGAAGGGTAGAAGTAAGGGGAGAGGGAGGTAGCAGAATTCTTGAACCTCCCTAGGCCCTGACCTCTAGCTGGTCTGAGCTCAGGCTCCAAAAGGGGCAACTAGCAGACCCTGGGTAGGGCTGGCAACACGGGGACACAAAGATTCAGGATGAGCTGACAATAACATCCAAAGTTGGCCACAGTGCCCTGACCTGCACCCAGGCCCCTATAAATCCTCCACTATCCCTTAACCTCATTCTTTTGCTCTTAGATTTCTTTCCTTTCCTGCTCATCTCCTCTCCTCCTCCATGCCCCACACCTGAGACTCAGCATGGCTGGCAGGGAAGAGGGAAAGATGGGAAGAACATGCCCAGCCCCCTGGCACCCAGCCCCTGCTTCCCACCCCTCTCACTTCTTGCTGCCAGCCTGGGTGCCCTGGGCAGCACAGGAGTAGTTCCCCAGGACAGCTCCAAAGCGCAATGCCACACCAGGGTCACAGTCATCTACTGTCACCACGGCGACTTTCAGTTCAGAGGGGCCTTGTGGGAGTCCAGAGCGACCTAGCAGTGGCTGTGGAGGAGAAAGAGAGGAAGGGGTCAGGCTCAGGGTGGGGGCACAACCTGGCTTGGCCGGACACCCTAATATTCAGGCACACTCAATCCCTTTATCCATTCACTGTGTCAACCCTGTAGCACCGTCTAGGGCATGCTACAGGTGATGAGGACAGAGATGATGACCAGGATGGCCTGGTCAAACAAATGCCCCTGGCAGAAAGGCTGGGCCCATTTAGAGTTCGCATTTATCTAAGTTTGCAAAGCACTTTACATATTATATCTTTCTGGTGCTTACAACAACCTTGTGAGATGGGTACTATTATCCTTACTTTATCGATGAAAAGAATTAGGTTCAGCATCACTACAACACAGTGTCTTACTGAAGCAGAATTTGAACTCAGGACTCCGACTCCCAGAGCTCTCTCTACCCACTATGCAAACTAGCTGCCTCATTTCGCAGCACCTCAGAAGAATGCAAGGCTTCTGAAGGCAGGGACTATTCCTTGTGTCTCTGTCTTTGTAACCTCATAGCTAAGCACCACACCCATACCACAAAACTTATGGTTGGTTAAGTCAAACAGTTGAGGTTTCACCTCATACCCAGCACCCTAGTGAAGCTGACAGGACAGGCATGTGAACACGCTGCCGGTGGAGCTAGGGACTGCCCTGAATATTCTGGAAAGCAATTTGGAATCAGGCTGAGAAAGCGACCAAAACGTCCATGCTCTTTCATCCAAACATCCCATTCCTAGGTATTTCCCCCCCAAGGACAGTAATGGTAAAGTGTATTTTCTCAGGTCCACCAAAATATTTAGAGCCTCACTTTTTGCAGAAACATATCAGATGACCATCCACTGGGGAACCACTGGACAAAAAACGATGCACAAGGTAACAGACTAGCACTGTGGTCTGAGACTAGGAAGAATTCAGAGAAGCAGGGGAAGACCTAGGATGTGACGCAGACCTCCCTAGTCTACGGCACCCAGGAAAGAATACACACAATGACCATCACATAAACTCAACCGAACAGCTGAATCCCTGCAAAGGAAGAACTATAGGTGTGGCATGTCATGTCTACAGACCATCAGGTCCAGCTATTAGATTGTCTTTATAATAAGAAATAACTTCATAAGTGAGGGGAGAAAGGATGAAATGAAAGTGACGTAAAAAAGAAAGGATACCAATAAAAACAAGATTCTGAAGAAGTCTATTCAGACTTTTGAGTTCACTTGTCCACAAGTTCATGTGACACACAATTCTGTACTGCAGGCCTTTGTGGCAGTCTGGTGAAACCCATGGAGCTCTTCCTGGAATCAAGTCTGCCACCCATGTTCACGGACCCACTGAAATTTATCCCTGGACCCCAGATCTGGTCCAATTCTGTACCTTCCCCCACAAGCAGTCAATTAGCCTTCTTTTGGGAATACCTCCAGGAATGGGGAACCCACCACTTCCCAAAGAAGCACATTTTCCTTTGGGACAGCTCTCATTTATTCTGTTTGTTCAGAGGTGTAGAGAAATCCTGGTAAGGACATTCCCTCTTCCAAAGCAGATCAGCAGCTGTGCTGCAATAGATAATCGGAAGAAAATTGCCTAGAGTAACTGAGAAGTGATGGGAGTTTCCCAGGGTCACAGGGCTGGTATATGGAAAACTCAGATGCTGAAGCCATCTCTGCTGCCATGGCAGCCAACACCCTAGTCACTGTCACGCTGCTGACTCTGGTGGCTAAAAGCCCTAACTGTCAAACAAGAAGCTGACATCTACCTCTCTGAAGGGCCTACCCACTGGTCAGTTTTGCCCCCGGGAGCCAAGCACAACAAATCAGACCCCCTTCCCCATGATAACCCTTCACACTGTTGAAGGCTATCATGACCCCCTTAAGGCTTCTCTGCCTCAATTCCAGAGGAGCCGGATCTCCTGGCACAGTCCCCTCCTCCTGACAGTGTCCAGACGAGCCTCACCTTATTGTAGTACTGAAGTTGGACAGTGTGCCATTGGCCATCACTGACCCCTCCAGGAATGAATGGAGACACGGTGGTCGTTGACTCCCCTGGGAAAAGGAAGACAAAGTGAACCAGGGCCCTGTGGGACCGGCTGGTAAAGTAGGAAGGGGTACACTTTGGGATGACATGCTGTCCTCAGGAGAAGTAAGCAACACCAAGTTTGAACAAGGCCTGGGATGAATGCACGGGGCTGGGGGAGACAGCAAGAGGCAAGAAAAGACAAACAAAGGTAGATGAGGGCCAGGGAGAAAAGAAGAGGCACACCTGCAGAGAAAGTGAGCTGGACCTGCTCCTGAATCACTTCAAGGGCCACAAAGTCATGCTTCTCATTGAAGCGCCCGTTGTACAGAAGAAGCCCGTCCCTCTCCTTTGTGGCAAACCTGCTTGGAGGGTAGGGAGAGGGTAAGAAATATGCAGGATGTTGTAGAGAATGAACCCCTAGGGGAGGTGGGATGAGAGTAGGCAGGCCTGCCCAGAGGACAGGTGCATCCAAGTCGTAGGGCTGAGGACTATGGGAGCAGAGGCGTAGGAAGGGGGTGGGTACATTCAAAGAACCAGGAGGTAGCCAACTTCCCTGAGGAAGGGCCTCCTCTCCTCTGGGGACTCCCCAGGGAAGACAGCCAGCAGAAGCAGATTCATTATGAACTTGCACTAGGTGAAAACACAGGAGACTTGAGTTCTAGGCTTAGCTCTGCCAATGACTTGTTTGACAACCATGGGGTCTCAGGTTAGTCATGAGTAAAACAGGGATCCCACCAACCCCCCTGCCTAGCTGAGAGGGTTGTTGTGAGGATCGTATGTAAAAACTCATGGTAAACTAATGAAGAAAGTTATCAATCACTGTGGAAATGCCAGGGAGAATTACTGTCCTGCTACTCCAGGTCAGAACAAGACCAAGAAAAGTAAACAGCTCAACATCCAGGGGCCAAAACAAGGAATATTTTCAAAACTGTTTTTTGTAAGCACATATTTATATGTGTAATTCTAGGCACATTACAAATGCACAAGAGAGGTGGTGCTGGGCAGCCAGAGAAATGTGACTGAAAGCCTTGCGTCTCTGCCACCTTTGAGGCAAGTCCCAACCACTCCTGGCTCTGGGCAGCTCTCTGAGATGATAACTGTAGAGAAGGAGTGGTAGACAGAGAGTCCTCAACTAGGAATTTCCCAGACCAATAGAAATTCCAAATCCCCACCTCTCCATTCTTATCAATACACATACTTTTAATGTGCCCAAAGTCTTCTCTTCATGGCACATACTCATTTTGTGCTAAGCCAAATTGCATGTGTTACAGAAAAGGGTTATAGCCTCTGGTGGACAGTAATAGCATTAATAGTAACAGCTCACATCTAAATAGCACTATAAATCTTCCACAGTGGTTTACATAGCTTATCTTAGGTCTTCACAAGAGTCTTGAGAAAGAGATAACTATGACTATCTCTATTTTACAGACGAGGAAATTGAGTCCAAGAGAGGTTAAGTAAGTGATTTGCCCAAGGTTATACAGCTAGTTAATGTCAGCAAAGTTCAGCACTCTATCCACCATGTCACATTGTCTCTCAGAAACATGGTGTGGCAGGGCACAAGTTTTAAACTTGTGGAAAAGGATAAGGAGAAGTTACACAATCTTCAAACACTGCCTGGAGCCCACAAGTTTCTAGTTTAGACTCTTCTCCCAGTTCCCCCAATCCCTTCTCTCTGGGCCCTCTCCCCATCATCACTCACGTGAGGGCCAGGGTGAAATGGAAGCGCTGCCGAAGGCCTCGGAGGGTGAGGAAGGACCGAGCTGGGAAGCTGCGTGTGGTCACTTGACAATAAGGCTTCTCATAGTCACCTGACGGGCAGTCGCATTTGAAACCACCAACCAACAAGTTGACACAGGTGCCCCCATTCTTGCAGACTCCAGGAGCACATCGGCCTGAGCGGGCACTCACCTCACAGTGTTCGCCTGGGACAACGGGAGAGGTAGGGATGAACAGCAAGCTCAGTACCCATGGCAGCATAGCCACTGACCCAAGGATACCACCATCCAAGACATCAGATATGCAGAAGGATACAAGGAAAAACTCAGTAGGACCTGGGCCTCAGTCCTTCCAACATCCTCCTTCCTAATACCCCGTTTTCCCAAACCCCACTCACTCTTCAATACTCTGTTTCCTTACACATTGTCTCATCCACAGATCCCCACACACATGCACACCCCATCCCTGACACAATCCTCAACCTTAGAGATATATACACTGCCCCCTCTCTTCCATCATCTCCCATCCCCTCACTCTCCTCAACTTTATATCCCCTACTCCATTGCTTTCTCATCTTCCTAATTCCCTAAGCCCCATCACACTATCCAGACCAACCCTCAATCCTCCATATCCCCCACCTTCACAGCCACAGCACACCCTCTATGACCTGTAGTGCCACTGTTCTGCCATGTCTGACTTTCCCTTAACCCTCCCTCACCTCTCAGGTCCAATCAGTTATCCAAACCTGCCCATTCTACTTCTGAAACGTCTCCTGAAGCCATCACCTCCATCCTGTCTGCCACTATCCCAATTCATGCTTATATTACTGCAATGACTCCCTAACGGGTGTCCAATTCAATCCAATCCAACATTTGTTAAGCTCTTAGTATATGATGGTCATTATGAAGACCGAAAGGAAAGACTCTGGCCTAAAAGAGCTTAGAACCCAAGCTAGCAGAATGTCCACAGAGAAGTACACACAGCCCAGTGCAGGCGTCTATCACCTGTTCCCTGGACTACTGTATCAGGCTTCTCGTTGGCTGCCCTCCTCATGTCTCTCCCCACTGCAGTCCATCCTCCACTCAGCTACCCTAGTGATCTTCCTCAAGCATCACTGTAACCATGTCACTATCCGACTGACTAAGCTCCAGTGGCTCCCTATTGTCTCCAGGATCAAATACAAAATGCTGTTTGGTGCTTTATTTAAATCCCTCCACATTCTGGCCCCTTCTACCAGTCAGGTTATACTTTACTCCTCTCTAGCAATACTGGCCTGCTTGAAGCTGCTCCCATATGACCCTTGCATGCGCTGTCCCCCATGACTGGAAGACTTTCCCTCCTTTGCTCTGCTGCCTGGCTTCTCTCAAGGTTCACCTTGAACCCCCCCTTCAGCAAAGGTCCTTTGCAGTCTCCCCAATTCTAGTGCATACCCTCTGAAATTACCCCTTCTTTAGGCTGCATAGATCTCATATGCACATAGTTCTTCACATGTTTGCGTGGGCTCTCTCCCATTCAAACTGTCAGCTCCTCATGGGCAGGGACTGTTTTTATGTTCTCTGTACCCCTAGGGCTCGACACAGTGCCTGTCTGAGCAAGGAGGGGACATCAACTAGGAGACCAGGGCAAGGGCCCTGCAGGGAGCTAAGGACTCCTGATGAAGCAGCAGAGCGAGGAAAGAGGACATCCCAGGCAGCACCTGGGACAACTTCTCTGGTGCTGGAGCAGGAAGGCTCCAGACAGTTAACAATGCAGGTAGATGGACGTGAAAGCGACTGAATGGTCTGACTGGAAGAGCAGCACCTAGTGTCCAAAGCGAGTGTGGGGCACCCCCGCCAGTGTTCTGCACTCAATCCTGTACCTGCATACGCTTTCTGAAGTCTTGGAAAAAAGCAGAGATGGCATCATGACTAAGTCTGCAGATAACTCAAAGCTAGTCAGAATGTCTAGGACAGCAGATGGCAGAGGCGGGAAGAAAAAAGATCCTAATATGCTACAATGTGGGGTCAAACCTAATAAGGATGAAGACTAAACAGAGAACTCTCCAGTGAGGAAGCACTCTCTGCCAATGCAGGTTGACACCTTCCCTCGTAACTTTGAGTCTGAGGGAGGTGCCTAAAGGAGAGGTATCTCACATGCAGCCCAGAACACTGGAGTGGGGCCTAACTAGACTAACACACAACTGGGACATATTTAACAAAATAAATAAAAATGGAAAATGTTAATTTGACATTTTCTACATCAACATGCCCCAGTTTAGTGGCCCTATTTTCTATCTGAATTTGATGCCACTGGCCTAGAGCACTGGGAAGGGAAGCGACCTACCCTGGGTCTTATACCTGCAATGTACCACAGGCAGGACTTTCTGACTTCAAGGACAGCTCTTTACTCACTATGCCAGAGGTGTCAAACCTGCCACAAACAGCCAGTAAAACTCACCAGTCAGTGTCCAAACCAGATCAAAATGTACTTAGGAAATGTTTAACAAAATAAATAAAAATACGACATGACACAGATAATATGATCTGTTTTCATTTCAATCTGACCTCACTAAACTGTACCCCACTACTTCTCCTAAACCTAACAGGATGAGATTTAATAGGAAGCAACTAGGTCCAAAAATCAACTTCACAAATCAAAAAACAAGGTGTAAACAGTCAAGGGTTTGCTTGAAAAAAAGAAACCCTTGTGATTTCAGTGGATTTACCAAGTTAGGGGAAATCACTCAAGCCAGAAGACTGTGTCCACTACAAGTTTATGTTTCTAATTTCACCTAGGTCCTCAGTACAGCAGAGCAATCCTTCCCTCCTCAATTTCCACACCCCAAAGAGGTGGTTCCAAACCTTCCCTTTTCCTCAGGCCTCCCCCTTCCCCTTCCTTGGACATCACAGCCATTCTCTCCTCCTTTGACTCATCGTTAATGAAGAGATAACCACTTCACTACATACACCCTTAATCCCATCTTCTATACAGATTGTCCCCCAAGTCATCTCCCCCCATAACCATCTCTAATCTTTCCCTATCCACTAGTTTTTTTTTTTGGGGGGGTGAGGCAATTGGGGTAGGTGACTTGCCCAGGGTCACACCCCTTGCCAAACACAGAGTACTCCATCATCTTCAGAACCCTCTATCACCCCTACACATGTCTCCATCACCTCCATGATTCTTTCAACCCTACACATACATACATGCACACATTCACACACACACACACACAAATATACATCTGCATAGTGGAAAGAATACTTAATTTGTAGAGAGGTAAATCTATGCCAACTTTCCAAACTCGAAAGCACTATATACATATGAGTTATTATTATTACTGTCCACCAAAGGCTATTATCTTTCTCTGTAACATAGGCAATCTGACTTACTTTATTTCATATGTAAAATGAGGGAATTGTACTAGATAACCTCTAAAACCCCTTGTAGCTCCAGATCCTATAAATCTATGGTCCATCCTCTCCATAGTCCCTCTTCCTTCAAACAAATGCTGCACCATCCCCTCCTTGACTCCGTCTCTCTCTATGCTGCTCCCATAATCCCCTATCATCTCAAAACTGTTCCAATTCTCCCTCCTCACAAACAGATGGTACTCTATCCCCTTCCCTCCCCAATGCTCTCTCTGAGCCTTCCATGTTAACCAGATAGTTTCACATACCAAATTTATTTCATTTTGGAATTTAAACCCCATCCACACAGGTTACAGCTGTGCTAAGTAAGCTTCAGAAGCCTAGGCCCATGGCCCCTGGGCCCTGTGGCCTCGGGCAGCAAGACTACCAAAGAAGGTTCTTTGGACAGAAGCAGAGGATACTAGTTCAGTGTTTTCTCCTCCCAGTTGCCTCAATTTCAGTCATCGTTGGACAATAAGATCAGGTTCTCTCCCTGGGGGTGAGACACACACACAGCTTCCCACTCAGATTAACTAGGAATAGCCAAGAGGTGGGGGAGGGGCATGGGGCCCAACTATAATCTGAGCCTGTTGCCCAGAGAGGGAGAATCAGGGAACTTACACTGGTTCTTTTGGGATCTGGAGTCAAGATAGAGGCCCTTGTGGGGTCAGAGGATGCTCTGGGGCTGGGGCCTGACAGGCTAGGGGTGGACTCCTGATGAGGGACTGTGGTTATCCTGGCTTTAAAAGAGCCATTAACATAATTAATGTCTGGTAGAATCATAGGCCCTAGTCCCTATCTCATATCCCTGATTCCCTTACTTAATCCACTCTATCCTCCTGCCTGTCTCTCCCCACTCCCAAACCAACCAATCCAATAGGCCAGATTCTAGAGATGAATTCTCAGATCCTGGGCTTGCTGGCCGGCTTGTTACCATGGAAACTGTTGTCCTCCCACCCCAGCCCCTTCCTCTTCCTCCTCCTCTTCTCCTGGACAAAGACCACTCCTCCCCTCTCCTCATGTACCCCTTTCCCCCTCCCTCTTTTCTTCTTTACCTGCAGTAGAAAAGTAACCTGGAAGGCAAGATGGGACTGAAAAGACTGGCTAGGGAGACAGAAGGGCTCTAAGTAGGTGTCTGCTCCAGGACCAGTGTTTACACACAGGTTCTCTATCCCCCTTTGTCAGAGCTGCCTACCCCTATGCCATTTACCCATCTCCTCATCTGAGGGGGTCCTTCCTGCCAGACGTGACCCAAACAGAATAAGTGGGTGTGACCTGATGTGTGTGGGGAGGGAGAAGCAGCAAGAACAAAGCGACAGAGAAGTCCAGGAACTCTGGGGAGGAAGAGCTGGCTGGGGGGAAAAGAAATAGAGAAGAGGATGGTTTCCTCCTAACTGGATTCCCTGAAACCAGACTTTCCTCACTGCGATCCATTCTCTACCCAGCAGCCAAAGTGATATTCCAAGTCAATCCCCCAGGATAAAATACAAAGGTCCTCCACTTGGGACTTAAAGTCTTTCACAATCTGGCCCCATCTCTCCTTCTAGTCACATCTGCCTGTCACACACTCTACATCCAAGATAAACTAAGGTTTGTTCCCACCCCATCCCATCCCATCTCCCCCTTCTGAATTTATTTTCTATAGATTTCACATTTGTTCATTTGTGTACATACTGTTTCCCTTAATTGGAATGTAAACTCCTTAAAGACAGGGGCTGGTTTTTTTTTGTCTTTGTATCCCTACAGTGCCTGGCACACAACAGCAGTCTAATAAATGTGGGACCAGCTGAACTGATCTGAGAGGAAAGAGGAAGGCT